AATATTGAGGAAAAGTGAGGTTGATATTCACACCACAATCCCTTCTCCAATATTCTCCTCCTGGGATTTCTGGGCACGCATGCACACACACCCAGTATGATTTTCAAGCCACTGGGACTTTTGAACAATGGTCAGCCACATTGGGAATCCAGCACCTTAATGACTATGTCACCTGCCAGCCCCTTTGATAATATTATCACAGGCTGAGTAAGAATAGATGTAGGCTATTGCATAAAGGTAAACATTTTTATGTTTGAAACTTTTCATTATTCTACTTCTTAAGGTAGTACTGAGACAATATGGGGCAAAGTTTTAAGGTATGTGTTTTAAAAACTCCTATTAATGAGTCACAGAGTCAGCCAGCTCCATGGTACAGGCATGATGCACTGCTCAGAAGCTGGATCCCATAGGGTGAATGCAGTTTGAATCCCCAGCCCAATCAGCCTGAAACACATGGGACACACACAAGAGCACCTAAGATCCAGTGAAGGGGGTGCAGAAAGGGACCAGTGTGTGGCCAGACACTGCAGAGTATTCCCATCTTTCCCTCTCTCATATGTGAGCACAGCTATTCTATCAAATAAAAAAGTCAAAGATGTCTACAGAGGGGATCAGATAGTGGTGCAGAAGTAAAATACAATGCTCTGTGAAGTAGACCCACATGGGAGAAGTCCAAGTCCAGAGTTCAAGTCCAGAGAATGCCCTGAGTATTTCAAGCATGGCTGTGCCCAGGGCTGGCAAAAGCTGGGGATAGACTAAGGAGTCAAAGTCAAAACCTTGTTGAGGGTTCTATCTGTCTTTCTCTCTCTCGTTTATGGAATAAATAAATAAATTTCTCTAAAAAGCACTTCTAAAGATACAAGAACCTTTAAAATTATTGGTTCAGTTATGTGACTGCTGCCATCGTGTGGTAATACTGTAAAACTACAGTTACAGATACATGTGTTCATTTTACTAATTTTAGGAGCAGAGGCTGCTAACCTAGTATCAAATTAAGAATAAATAAAGGCCTTTTGGTTATAATACACTCAATATACATGAAAATTCCAAAAATTTGCTATTTTGGGCTTCTTTTAAATTGGAGTTTTCTCTAAATGTTAAATGTCAAAAAAAGATATACAGAGTTTTTATTGCTGTTTCATTATTTTAATAATCTGTTTGCCTTTATATAACAGCCCACATCTGTTCCTACATTGTGCAAATCTAGTCACCTAAGGAAACAAATGCTTAAAAGTTCTCCTGACATTAGAGGAACACATGAGAAAAATACAAAGTTCTCTAACTGTCCAGGGGGGTTGTTATAGGACACGTACACTCTCCAGAGAGAGAAAGATTGAGAGGAAAAGTGAGAATCACCCCCTCCCCAGGGCCACATCACAGCCCCTTCTCATCCACTCTCCTCCTGAGGTTTTGGGCATGCACATGCGAGTTTCAAGCTGCCGGGTCCAAGACTTGAAACACAGTAAGCAATGTGGGAGTCCAGTGCCTTAACCACCATGTCACTTGCTGGCCCTTGCCCATATAAATTTTGACTGTAGTTGTTCAATGTCCTAATTACTTTTCTGGATGGTATACTCAAATAAAGTCTGATTTTAGAGCAGGAATTATTGTTTTTATTCTGCCAGGGGGCAAGTGCATGTGGGTGTGTGTGTGAGAGGGAGAGAGGGAGAAAGAGGAAAAGGGAGGTGGGAAGAGGGAGAGGGGAGAGGGGAGAAGGGAGAGGAGAGAGGGAGAGCAGGAGAGAGAGGGAAAAAGAGGGAAAAGAAAAGAGGGACTGCGAAAGAGAGGGGGAGAGAGAGACTCCATGGTCATGCCACAAGTCCTTCTCTTCCAGTTTTCTATCCTGCTGCGATCTAGAGCATGCATGCACATGTATCCAGCATGTTTTGCAAGCCACTGGGTCCTGGAGTCAAACTGCACAGCTGGCCATATAGGTTTCAGCTCCCTTAAACAGTAGGCCAAGGGCAGGCACCAGCACGAGATTATTAATCAAAAATAACTGGCATCAAATTACTACTCCTCTTTTTAAAACAATCATCTATTTAATTATATTTATTATTATTATTATTATTATTATTATTATTATTATTATATTATTACTTAATTTGACCAGAGAGAGATAGAAAAGGAAAGTGAGAAAGCAAGCCACCAGGTCCAACTCTCAAATCACGGTCAGCCATGTGGGAGTCCAGGGCATCAGACAACCCACCACCTGCTGGCCCCTCAAATAACTACTCTGATACATACTAGTTACATAACTCTGGGCAAGTCACAAAAGCATCTCTTTGGTTTCAGTTTGCTTGGGTGTAAAAGTGGGAATCTCACCATCTTTCTTACAAGGTGGCTTCAGGAATAAAGAAATCAGTCCAGGCATAGTGTTAAGCATATAAGTACTCAAATACCAGGATTCTGCACTTTTCATTTCAAAGTTATAGTCAAGGTGCTTTAGAATATGAATTCCTTAAGGACAGGGAGAGTCTTACTAATTTCAGCACCAACTTCCACCTCAATAAATTGTTTAGTGAATACATTTTATCACATCTGTTTGAAAAGAATGCTTTACTCCTCATCACAATCATCACCTTCATGTTTTATTTAACGAACTGAGAAGATGCATACTCCTAGATTATCAGGGAAATCATATACTTCAATAAGCACTTCAACCATAAAATTATGGGTAGAATAGGTCACCTACATACTACAAAAACCCTGCTACTCAAAGTATGATCTGCAAACCTGAAGCTTTGACAGCACTTGTTAGAGAAAGAAAATCTCAAGCCATACTCCAGACCCACTGAAGCAGAATCTACATTTTAATAAAAATCTGTAAATGATTCAATGCACATTAGAAATCAAGAAATACTGTTTTAAAAGATCCCAAAGTAATCTGTTGAAAGAAAGATTTCTATACCTGCTACTGCTCCATAAAACTCCTTTTTGGGGCAAAATAATTGACATCATTACTATAGAAAGTTAGTGTGAAATACTTTGTCTAAATGGTTCCAAGGGCTATCTGACAGCAGATTATGAAGTGGGGGTGAGGTGGGGAGAAGGGAATGATAGAACATAGGGCATAGAATGTGGGCCTCAGAAGATTGAACAATAGTTATCTGAGGTAGTAGATGCTAAGAGGAAAGAGCATAAATGTGCAAGCACTAAAAAGTGAGATGGTGGGCCAGCAGGTGATGGCCAATTCCAAAGTTTGAGTCCTAGACAAGACGGCTTGAAAAACATGCCATGCGTGAGTGCATGCATACCCAAAATCCCAAGAGGAGAGTGGAGTAGAGGGGACGGTGGCGTGGCCATGCCCTGGGGGGTGATTTCTCACTTTCCGTCTCTATCTTGCTCTCTCTCTCTCCAGCAAGCACACGTACGCGCGTGCGCGCGCGCACACGCACACACACACACACACAATGGTAAAAAATCTTAAAGAAAAAAAAGATGAGAGATGAAAGGTGGAAAGACACTTAAATGATTTATTTGATGAAATCAAATACTTACTCTGTTAGGCAGTACTCAAAATAAATAAAATCAAGGACAGCAAGTAGTGCGGTGGCAAAGGTGGCTGGATCTCCCATGGCTCACTAAGCAATTTGAATCTCAGTCAGTGGCTTGAAAAACTCATCAAGCGCATGTGCAGGTAAAAGTTTAAAACTTCTAATTCAATAACTTGTTTAATGAATACATTCCATTATATTTGCTTGAAAAAAATTTTTATAGAAGTTTACAATATGTACATTATAGATAATTCTAATAGACTCTCAACAGGTTTGAGTCCTGGACCTGGTGACTTGAGAAACACACTGGGAACATGTGTGTTGAGTGTCCAAAATCCCAAAAGAAGGGAGAAATAGAGTAAAAGGGATTTGTGGCATGACCATGTCACAGAAGGGGCATTGCTTTCTCCTCCAACCCCAGCAAGTGCATGTGCCCTCTGGCAAAATCTAAAAATAAAAAAGTAAAAAGAAAAGAAAGATGATTATAGAAGAGATATAAAGGAAGAGTAGGGCAGCAAGATGAATTTAAAGGCTCTAAAGGAGTCCAGTAAAGGCAGATCTAAACCAAAGCACTGCCAGGGAAAACATGGCACAAGGGATGGGGGGTATGAGAAATATTTAAACACAATTCTGATCATGTCACTGCCTCATTTCCTTTTCTTCCCTTTTGTTTCCTTTTTTTGAGAGAACTTTTGGTATGGGGAGAGGGTGTGCACTCACCAGAGACACAGAGCAAGTGAGAAAGTACTCCCAGGAGGGATGGCCACACCACAATCTCTTCCCCTCCATTCTCCTCTCAGAATTTTAGGCATGCATGTACATGTGCCCAGCGTTAAGATACAAGCCCAGGGTCTGGGACTCAAACCACAGTCGGCCATATGGGAGTCCAATGCCTTAACCACTATGATACCTGCTGGCCCTGCCACTCCCTCATTTAAACTCTTAAATAGACAAACCAAACTTATAGGAAAAGTCCACATTCCTTAACATAAGATTTGAGTCCCACTCAGCTAAGGATTCCAAAGCACTTTTTTCTTCTTGAGGGGGAGAGGTTTTTTTGCTATAGGGCATGTGCACTCATCAGAAAGAGAGAGAGACAGAGAGACAAAAAGTGAGAAATCACCCCCCAAAGAAGGATGGCCATGCCCCAATCCCTTCTCCTCCATTCTTCTCTCAGGATTTTGGGCATGCACACACACATGCCTGGTGTGGGTTTAAGCCACCGGGTGGGGTCTGGGATTTAAACGGTGGTCAACTACATGGGATTTCAGCGACGTAGCCATTACACCAACTGCTGGTCCCCCAAAGCACTTATAATCTATCACCACTACTGCATCGTCTCCTTCCCTTCCCTCTGAAATCCTGCCTGCCTGCCTCTTTTATCACATCTAATTGTTTTCATCCATTCTCAGTAGTATGTTGCCTCAGGTTCTCAACCTCAAACTTAGGGATTACCTATACTTTTGATTTTGTAGTCCTGGGGTACATTTAAATTAAACCTACTGATTCATCCATAATTGAAGCTGGATCAAAGAAATCAGGCTTCAGTTCTGTTCTCTCTCGTCGGTTCTTTGATGGTGGCTAAGGGAAAAAAAAAAGAAATAAGCATTTGTTATATCTATAAACCAGATAGTAACTGAAAACATCCAAGCAAATTACCATTAAATGTCCACATGGCCTGTGTGATTGTGAGTGTACCTTACAACACTTAAAATACTGTATAGTCAAATATTTAAAATTTCAAAAACTTTTATGGATAACTTTTAGAAAATTATTCTGAAAGACAAAAACTGGAAAAAATCTTTTCTCATTTTACGTTATAATCCCTCTCACAAATCATTTTCTTTTAAAGGCACCAAACTGCACTACTATAGAGAGAAGGTATATTAAATTACTATTTTCTTTTAAAGAGCCTATACCATGGTATACTTTTTAAAAGTATAATCAAAAGACCTAGCTTGGACCAGCAGTTAGCGTAATGGCTATGTCGCTGGACTCCCATGTAGCCGACTGCAGTTCAAGTCCTGGACCCGGTGGCTTAAACTCATGCCGGGTGCGTGTGCGTGTGTGCCCAAAATCCCGAGAGGAGAATGGAAGAGAAGGGATTGCAGCGTGGCCATCCCCCCCTGGGGGGTGATTTCTCACTTTCTGTCTCTCTGTCTCTCTGTGTCTGTCTGGCAAGCACACGCACCCTATAGCAAAAGTCTCTCCCCACCCCCTGCCAAAAAAAAAAAGAAAGAAAGAAAGAAAGAAAGAAAGACAGACCTAGCTTGTGGGACCAGGAGTTAGCATAATGGCTATGTCACTGGACTCCCATGTAGCCGACTGGTTTGAGTCCCAGACCTGCTGGATTAAACTCACGCCGGGCACGTATGCATGTGTGCCCAAAATCCCGAGAGGGGAATGGAAAACACTTTCTGTCTCTCTCTGTCTTTCTGGTGAGCGCACGTGCCCTACAGCAAAAATCTCTCAAAAAAAGAAAACAAACAAACAAATAAAACCAAGCTTGTTGTAATACATCACAGCTTTACTGCTTACTAGTTCTGTCTCCTTGGAGAGACCAACTACCCAAGCTTCAACTTCCTCAATCCTCTCAATCTACACTTCACAAAGTTGAATGAGATATGTGGCAAAATAAGATACAAACAAGTATTTTATATATTAAAAGCCTTAGTCATATACATAATTATTCATATAAAATAACCTTACAAATATATAACTTCCAAATAATTTCACCTCATTATCTGATCTCGTAATATGTCTCAATAACAGGATAGCAATCATATTTATCATTCTGATAATAAGTAGAAAGTTATAAGGTAATGTGATAATATACTAATTTATGAAGAATTTTAAAAATATGTAATCACTGGGACCAGCAGTTAGTGTAATGGCTATGTTGCTGGACTCCCATGTAGTTGACCGCGGTTCGTGTCCCGGACCTGGTGGCTTAGAACTCACGCCGGGTGCGTGTGCGTGCGTGCCCAAGATCCTGAGAGGAGAATGAAGGAGAAGGGATTGATGTGTAGACACCCTCATTGGGGGATGATTTCTCGCTTTCTGTCTCTGTCTCTGTCTGTCTAGCAAGCGCATGTACCCTATAGCAAAAGAAAACTCTCCCCACCCCCCAAAAAATGTAATAATTAAGTATTGTTTGTTTTTGTGATCAAATTAATAATACAAAATATAGCCTTTAAATCTATGTATGCCTAAATTAACCTCAAAGGAAAACATAATAAAACTACAACCTCATACCCTCACTAATCTCATCCTTGACTGGATCCCTTCTCATTACCAAACTCTAGCAAATATTTAATATTTTTGCAAAACTTAAATTTCATGGGAACTATTTCTCACTTTAATATCCAACCTTTGCCAAAAGATTTAAACTCAAAATCTTAACAGACATCATTAAATTTCTTACCAAGTCTATATCCATGGTGTCAAAATCCATTCCCTCATTAAGATCCTCAATCCTCCCTTCTGAGGACATCATAACATCTTCAACAATTGGCTCTTCATCATCTTCCATTAGGCTGGTACCACGCCGACTAGAGAAATATAAAACGAAGTGAAGATCTGAACCAATGTCATGACTGTTAATATACAGGCAGCAACTATGTGGCTCTCTACATTCAAGTACAATGGGAAATGATGGAATTAAAGGTCAGGGAAAATGATTAGGCATTGATCATGTCATCGATGATGTCAAAACCCTGAAGTTCACTTGTCTAAAACTCTTAAGGCATTATCTTTATTCTACATAACTTTGATACATTTGGCTTGATAGTTCTGATACCCCATATTCAAAGTGTGATAGAATTTCCCACATGGAAATATACAAGATACCTCAAATCCTTCTTGAAAGTAGGCAGGATACAAATTAATAAACAAACATAAAACAGAGGCCATATAAATGACATTTTCAGAAAACATGTATTTTTGTCAACATAAATGCGGACTTCAATCCATCACTCAATCATTCACTTAGTACCCAATGTGCACCATGCACACACATAAACATTCGCTCATATAGTGCCTACTATGACAGGCTTCTACTATGTCCTGTGGATGCCAAAAAGAAAACAAAAAAAGATGACTAAGACATGGTTCCTGCCCTCAAGGAGCTCACAGTCTACTATGGGAAACAAAGATAAACAATTAATTGTGACAAAATGTGGTAAATATTACAATGGAACTATGCATCAAGTTCTATAAGAATATACTAAAAGAAGGGATTAATTTTGCCTCAGGAAGAAATGGACAACACTTGTGGCAAAATTTGGATTCTTTTGCCCTATAAAACTCAAAGACATGTATAGAAATATAAAATTAAAAATTAAAAGACCAAAAGTTCTGTATGTTAACATACAGTTACAGGGAATAAGCTAAGTTCACAAATTATCCCAGATCTGTATGAAGTACCCAATGTTACCAGTGAAATTGAGCTTGACTTAAAAAAAAAAAAAAAAAAAAAACATTTATTTTTAAGTGCCAGTGGGTACATGTACTTGTGGGGGTTGAGATGGATACATTCCCCAATGGGATGTGGTCATGCCGCAATCCCTTCTCCTCCATCTCTCCATCCTATTGGGACTTTGAGCACACACGCACATGTGCTCAGGTTTTTTCCAAAGCCACTGGGATCAGATACAAACCACAGCGGGCCTTGTGGGATCCAGCTCCCTTAACCACTAGGCTAGGGCAAGCTTACATGTGACTTCTTGTTCCTGACATTACCTTCTTCTCTTTTTGAAAGATGCCTCTCCAAGAAAAGAGAAGAAAAGAAAAGAAAAGAAAAAAAAGAAAAGAAAAGAAAAGAAAAGAAAAGAAAAGAAAAGAAAAGAAAAGACACCAAAACCTCATCAATTATTTACTCAATGCTTACAATTTACATAGTAATATGCAGGGTCCTAAAAAATATAAAGATCACAAGACATGATATCTGATCCAGGCTACCTGGACAAATATGTTGATAATGGTCCTATTTCCTAACAGTTCTGGATAGTGAAGACAGTATAACTGTATTTCACAAAAGTACCTGTGAAGGGACTATGTGTGCTTTGTGGACCATGTCCAAGAAAACCAGAAATCCATTCTGCATTTTGTTTGCAGTACAAGGAAGATATATGTGATATAAACTATGGGGGGAAAAGAAAAATAATTTGGATGTACTTTCAATTATAAGTCAAATAAAATTACAGAAAAATTGTTGTAAAACTACAATTCTTTAAAGTTCCAGACAATAGACCACTTATGATATAACAACCAAAAGAAGCTTCTATTAATAGTTATTTAACTGAGATTATTTCCTGGAAGCTGTCAGGGGCAAGATTACCTTACAATTGAGAATGAAAATAAACTGCAACCAAAAAAAATAATGATGAATGATGTTGAGATGCTATGGAGGATCTTAGAAACTGGTGCAAAGTCTTGAGAACAAAGATATAGACCAAAATGATTATATCACAGAATTCAAGAATATTTGGACTGGTAACTGGTTGGAAGCTAAGAAATCACTTGCAGGACTCAGTATGAAATATGAATATATATGAAGAGGAATGTGGCCACAGAAACAGAGAAAAGGGGACAGAAATAAGTGATGGTACAGATGATGACCATATTAGCTAAATTAGAATCGATGCATGCCTCTTTAATAGCTTTTTAACTGAGATAATCCCTTGTACTCATGCAGAAGTGTATACTTTGTGTCTCTATGGGTTCTTAAGAACACTATGATGATAAGTAAATTTATATAGGCCACCAATTATAATAAATGATCATTTAAGAAAAATGTAAAATTCTTATCATTTAAAAATCAACAAAACAAAATATAAAGTTAGAAGAGGGTAACAATTACTATCTCCCAGTCTTAAAACATATACCACTTTATGTTACAAACAATACTTCCAAGCTCAAAAGCCTAAATAATAGAATAGTTACACTTTCCCTTGTATACCAATCAAAACATGAAAAATATTATCTAAAGACTGCTTATCTGCCATATCTTTAAAGTCAAAACTAATGAAGATTTCAGGAAGATTTATAAAGTTCTCATACAGAATCCAATAAAAACAGTATTTAAAAGATAAACTATAATTTCTTTAGTATTGAACATTTATTCATTCAATGAACATGTACTTAGAACCTTCCATGTGCCAAGCACTGACAGGCAATGAATATGATCCCTGCCCTTGAGGAGCTCACAGTCTAGAGAAAGGGACAAACTCATAAACAAATAATTACATTATCCTATAGCAAGTGCTATTAGAAATATAAATATATATAGTGTTATGGGAGAATAGATGACTGCAACTTCACTTAAGGTGTGACACCTGAGCTTGTTCTTTTATGATGATTCCACCAGTTGCCAGGGAATGGGATATGATACTAACATGTAGGCAAGGGCTATATTTTCAAAGATCGTGCATGCCATTAGCTAAGGAGTTTGCACTTTATCCAGCAGGCAATGGGGAGTCATGGAAAGGTTTTAAATAAAAAGAGTTAACATGGTTAAGATTTTAATTCTAGAATAGCAATTCTTGATGACAGTGTGAATGATGACGTGGTGGTGGGGGCGTGAAGGAAGGGGATTGGTGAGAAGATAAATGGGAGATTCAAGGCAAGGAAACCAGTTAGAAAAAGCTAATACAGTAGTTCAGGTGAGAGATGAGGACCTGAACTAGGTAGGGAAATCAAGTAAGATGTAACAGAACTGTATTTTTAATTTTGTGTACCAAAATAAACAAGGATTCAGATTTAAACTTTTCCAACAGATCAACCTAAGATTGGTCCTGTGGCTAACTAGGTAATATTTACCTTGAAAATTTTTTTTTTTCTGTTGGAAAGACCAATTTTTAGTTCCTTGATTATTTCAGCTTAATTACTCTAGAGAGTTTGCTGAAATTTTTAGGTAAGGCACACATTAGATATGTTAAAATGAATTAGTGAACTTCCTAGACTCAGACAATAAGGCACTCTCACTTACATGGCATGCTGGAGATTAGTTCGCAGTTTAACATAGCTCATTGCTGCTCTCTCCTGCTGTTGCCTTGCTTCCTCTTGTTGTCTTTGAGCTAACATCCATGTTACCTGCGTGCTTCAAGGAGAATTTTATTCTTCTTTTAACTTAACTTTTTTCTATGTAATTAATAAAGTTATAGTACAGAAAATAATCAAATGGACTTACTTATAATCAAGAGGAGTTTGATGATGTTCAGTCTGCATTGGATATACACTCATGAAGCTATCCTCAGGCCGTAGTCTTTTGGGCTCTCTCATGATAGTGGAGGTGAGCTGTGGTGTCTGCATCATAACAGGGGTGTGCAGTGTTTGTTCTCTGCTTAACCACATACTGTCACTACTACTACTTTCTTCAGCTGAAAATAAAAATTAACAGCAGTGAAAATCAGTCACTGATTTTGACTAATTAAAAATCTAATACAACCCACTCAAGTCAATGAACATCTGGTTGCTTGCCACATGCTAGTGCTAAGAACAGAGGCCATATAGCCATGTAAGGCACAATCCCTGCCCTTACAGTCCAGTTGTAGAGGAAGAACAGAAAGGCAATTAGTGGAAACAAGGAAAGGGGTCAGAGCCAGCTACCCGGAAACTACTTCTAAATGAAGTGGGTGTCTGGTAGGCTGTAAAGACTTTTTCTAGGCAGGGAGAACATAAACAAGAGCACTGAGGTGTGAAACAAGGAATCATATTAAGCTGATAAAATCTAACCTACACAAAGGGCAATTTCATATGGTTCAAATGAATAGTTTTCTACTCCTGGGGTAATAAAGACAGAAGGAGTGACAAAAGTGGCAAAAGATGGGAAGAGTGGCAAAAGAGTAGAGACCAGCCTCCATAGAACAGTAGTTACATGCTACACTGACTGCACTGGGTAAGTGTATAATCGTGCCCAAACTCCAATGGAGAAATAAAAGAAAAGGATTGCAGAGTGACCATGCCTTACTTGGGGGGTGGAGGGTGCAGTGTTTTATCTCTCTTTCTCTGTCAAGCACAAGTACCCACTGGCAATAGCGGGGGTGATGAGGCTAAGGGTGGATTAAAAAAAAATGGGAATCAGTTTGTGCAAATTCAGGTTAGCTGTGCCAAGGTTACAGAGAACTGTTGCTGAAAGGATATAATTTAGTGAGTTACATGTTTTAATAAATGTGACAACAGTGTGGAGGGTAGACTTAAGAACAGGAAGACCAGGGACCAGCAGTTAGCGTGATGGCTATGTCGCTGGACTCCCATGTAGTTGACTGCAGTTTGAGTCCTGGACCCAGTGGCTTAAACTCATGCCGGACGCATGTGCGTGCGTACTCAAGATCCCGAGAGGAGAATGGAGGAGAAGGCATTGAGGTGTGGCCATCCACCCTGGGGGGTGATTTCTCGCCTTCTGTCCCTCTCTCTGTCTCTGTCTCTGTCTGGTGAGCATACACGCCCTATAGCAAAAATCTCTCCAAAAAAAAAGAAAAAGAACAGGAAGACCAGTGAATAAAAAGACCAGTAAGAAAGCTAACAATAAAAGGAGACTTCTAAAGTTCATGGGGAGGGAGGAGGAGGAATTCCAAGTAAAAGTTTTATTTTGGTGCAAAAAATTTTTGAAATTGATGCATAATCATTTTTCATCATATACATTTTCCATGAACTTTTTGAAGACTGTGGCAAGTAAGATAGGGTAACAGGAATGGAGACAATAGGGGTTCGGTTCCCAATCTATGGGATGCACACCAATGAGCAGGTCTATGAATTAACAGAGAGGAACCACAAATCCATACATACATGAAGCACTAAACTCAAAATTATAAATTGGTTTCACATCCACAAGTTTTTTTTCCCTCCAAATATCTGTTTATGTCACCATGATTAATAAAAGGGAGATTCACAAACAAGTGTTACTGGATGGACAGTAACTTTTTAAACTGCTATATTTGGGAGGTAAAATTATAACACTTTGTGACTATGAGTTTGGAGGAAAACTATTTTAATAAAAAATCATCTATGGGTGCATATACATAGAAGTTCAATGGGTTTTTTGAGATATTTCTGCTATAGCATGCATATACTCATTGGAGACAGAGAGACAGAGAGAGCGAAAGTGAGAAATCACCCCCCAGAAGGGATGGCCATCTCTTCTCCTCCATTCTCCTCTCAGGATCTTGGGTATACACACACAGGCACCTGGCATGAGGTTTAAACCATCAGGTCCTAAACTTGAATTGCAATCAACTATGTGGGAGTACAGAGACATAACCATTACACCATCTGCTTTTCCCATTACTGTTAATTTTTATTTTCTTTTTTGAGAAACTTTTCTAATAGCTAATACCCTAGTAACAGATGGATTGGACATAAATTTCCCATTTTGCAGTATAACTCATCAGCCTTTAAATTCCATGTTTAAATCCCAATATTACCTTTAAAACTGCACCAACCTAGTCAACCTTTCAGTTATTTACCCTTCCTTCGAACTTACTAATGCCTCAATTTTTATGGCTCTCTTCAAAAACCTAAAAAGGAAGCATTGATTCTTGTCTGCAATAACTATATCAGGTTTGATAATCTGTATTTGTAAGAAGTTATATAAACACCAATTTGTATGTGTTTGATGAAGTCTAAGCAAAAGAATAGATCTGATGGCCTAGCACAAATCTAAAGCTATAAATTACTGGTTCAGATGAAAGAAACAATGGTATGCAGGGATCACCATCTTTCAATGTGGTAATATTTTCATTTAAAAAGAAAAAATGACTTAAAAATCATCAGCTTTAACCATTTTAACTGCCCAGACATACTGTAAAAGAAATTCCCCTGTCAACAGTGATGATGGGACTGTATGAGAGTCTTCAGAAAGTTCATACAATGTGCATTATCAAAAACAAATGTACAAATTCCAAAATAAACTCATACTTTCACTCATTTTTCCATGAACTTTTTGAAGTACCCTCATATAAACAGCCAAACCTAAAACTGTACAAGTTGCAAGTATAAGGCTATGCCTTTATACTACTGGACAGAATATACTAAAACTGTTAAACCATGCAACAAGTTTTAAACTCTGTATGCCTGATGATAAATAATGGCTGATGAATAATGGGCCCATTTTTAAAAATGGCTCGAAATTACTTGATACTTTTCACATTTAGAGGTGGAGGAGAGCCAGCCAGTATTAAGATGGAGAAGGCAGCTGGGTCCTACATGCCCAAGTGTGTGGTTCAAGTCCCAGATCTGGTGGCTTGAAAAATACTCTGAACATGTGTGTATACGTGCCCAAAATCCCTGGAGAACTGAGAAGGGACTGTTGCATGTCCATGAACCCTGGGGGGTGATTGCTTATTTTCCCTCTCTCTCTATCTCCCTCTGGTGAATGCATGTACCCTATGGGAAAAAAAATTAAACTAAAAAAAGAAGAGAGAGAGAGAGAGAGAGAGAGAGAGAGGGGGAGAATTATTTCTTTTCTCCTAGAATTCTCTGTGGCTGACTATTGCTTATGTCTCTTCTCCTAGAATTCTCTGTGGCTGACTATTGCAGAAGTTATTATGCTACACCAGTTTCTGGACCAAGCTTTAAGAAAATGGTAGTTTTTACTTCCTGTCTCTTGGGACAATTGTTCTTAGAGCCCAGTGGCATGTTGACATGGAGAGGTCATGTGTAGGTATCCTAGCATACAATCTAGCTGAGGTCTCAACTAATAGCTAGCGTCAAGTTAAGTGCCTCTCTACGAACAACCAAACATAATGGTCCCTGATATTTTGAATTAGTCACTGAGCAATAATAACTGGAAAAAAAATTTTTGACAAAGTCCCCAAGTATATTTTAAACCAATTCTGGAGTGCTAGGAGCCCAAGAGCTTCAAGTGCCATAACGAATTTCTACCTCTAACAAGATAGATAGCACTTTGTACTTCTATTAGGTGCTTCATGATTAATGATCTCTTCACAAAAATTCGAAATTGCAATCTCTCTAAATCTGTTATCCATATAAACTAGACGATCTGATCTCCCAGAAAACAACTTGGTCTGTAACACTGAGTCCATTTCCCTAAGTATATAGTTTAGTGACTAAAAAGCAGGTGCTCTAGAATGAGACTGCCTGGCTCTCCTACTTAACATCCATAACTTAACTAACATCTATAACTTAACATCTTCTACTTTGTACCTGTAACCTTAGGTAAGTTACTTAACTTCTCTGTGCTAGTATTACTTTCTGAAAACTGAGGGTATACCTAGAGTTGTGAAAACTGAGTTTATGTATATAAAATGTTTAAAACACATTTACACCAAATTGACAAGTTGTATCAGTTACTCAGGAACAATGCATATCTCAAATAAAAAACAAGGTAAACCTTAAGGACAAGTCACTTGGTAAACATTAGATATAAATACAAAGAGAAAATAACCTATATCCTTACTGAGTGCAAGCTGCATGCCCTCAACCACTTTCCGTTTTCCTGTAGATGGTTTTGACTTTTTACTCCGCACCGTTGACCCCCGACTACTGATTCCACTAATGACTGACATGGTGTCATCATCACCACCCGCTAGCAAAGAATTTCGGTAAGACATCAACGGAAGCCATACGTCTTCTCTTCGGAGTGACATCTGAAAGGTCATGAACTTTTCCAAGTAAACATACCTTAAAAAGAAGTAGAAACTGTTAACTCTGATACATAAAACTTCCAGTTCTACCAACCTCTAGCTATGTGAATGAGTGTGGACATAGTACTTCATTACTCAATCTTAGCCTCTTTGTAGATTCTATCAAGACTCTCACATCAAATGGAATAGAACATTTCAGCTTATTATCTGTTGAGTACCTACTATGTCCCTAGCACAAAGATAGATACAAAGATTAATCAGATATAGTCCTTACCTATAGAGAAGCTCTGGCCTGATGGAAAACTGTAAATTTACCATTATCCATGTACCTAAAGGCTTATATGTAATATTGTGATCAAAATCCAACTAACATTCATGTAAATGCTATGTGCTATACATCTTTGAGGTTCCTTAACTATTTTTATAATTCCATGAGGAAGACATTCTTCCCATTTTACAGATGAGAAAAAAATAAGAAAAATTAAGAACTAATGTGCTCCAGCTGGGTACTACTTTATAGAACGTTCATTCTACTCACTGGGGTCTACGCCTAAAGTCAGACTTGGGTACATGTATAGGTATGTGTCAGCTGTGCTAGCTATTGGATATATTTAGACTAATTAAGTTCATTGGCAGAACAATTGAATGGGGGGGAGGGCATGGAGGGCAGCCGTGGATGCCAAGGACAATGGGGGAGGAGGATGGGACATAGCAGAGGGTGGGGGATGGGGAATCAAGGATGGCAAAACAAAAGGCAAGGTATGCAGGACATAAGAATTGGAAAATTATTTTGCTGAGAACATGTATGTTGATGTGCTTGATTGAGCCAATGCACAGTGTATTTGGGATGGAAAATTCATTTGTGTGTTGTGATGGTGTACAGTGAATTAATGTAGAAAATGAATAAATTTTAAAAAAATTTTAAAAAAAGAACTAATGTGCTCATAGTCATAAAATTGAATAAGTAGCACAACCATGATTCAAGTCCTAGGCTCTGATACTAAGAATTCAGTAAGGGTAATTTGTGCTCTAAATAAATGAAGGCAATTACTTGTCAACTAACTGAAATTACAATACAAATATTTGCTGTCATTTTAATAACTAATTTCAATCAATTCAACAGTTTTGGTCAGCATTAAAGAAAGGACAGGAAATATAGATTTAAAAACATACTACTGGTCTGTTATTTTAATGACAAAATGCATCTGTCATGCATAATCCTCAAACCATGGCTTACAAACTTTCAGTAAAAATATTCTCACTGGTAGAGACATTACACTATCTAGCACCTTATACCTTAATAAAACATTACCAATAAGTGGCCCTCTCTTCCTCCTCAACCCAGAAATTGCCACTAATCTGAATTTCCTATTTATCATTCCCATGCATGTTTCGTGTACCTTTAATGTAGAAAGAGGTGTCTATTCACATAGTACAGGTTTCTATTATGCTATGTTTTTAAAATGAAGCCATTTTGATTGCTATAAGCAATTCCATATACATACATACACACACACACACGGAGTGACATCTGAAAGGTCATGAACTTTTCCAAGTAAACATACCTTAAAAAGAAGTAGAAACTGTTAACTCTGATACATAAAACTTCCAGTTCTACCAACCTCTAGCTATGTGAATGAGTGTGGACATAGTACTTCATTACTCAATCTTAGCCTCTTTGTAGATTCTATCAAGACTCTCACATCAAATGGAATAGAACATTTCAGCTTATTATCTGTTGAGTACCTACTATGTCCCTAGCACAAAGATAGATACAAAGATTAATCAGATATAGTCCTTACCTATAGAGAAGCTCTGGCCTGATGGAAAACTGTAAATTTACCATTATCCATGTACCTAAAGGCTTATATGTAATATTGTGATCAAAATCCAACTAACATTCATGTAAATGCTATGTGCTATACATCTTTCAGGTTCCTTAACTATTCTTATAATTCCATGAGGAAGACATTCTTCCCATTTTACAGATGAGAAAAAAATAAGAAAAATTAAGAACTAATGTGCTCCAGCTGGGTACTACTTTATAGAACGTTCATTCTACTCACTGGGGTCTACGCCTAAAGTCAGACTTGGGTACATGTATAGGTATGTGTCAGCTGTGCTAGCTATTGGATATATTTAGACTAATTAAGTTCATTGGCAGAACAATTGAATGGGGGGGAGGGCATGGAGGGCAGCCGTGGATGCCAAGGACAATGGGGGAGGAGGATGGGACATAGCAGAGGGTGGGGGATGGGGAATCAAGGATGGCAAAACAAAAGGCAAGGTATGCAGGACATAAGAATTGGAAAATTATTTTGCTGAGAACATGTATGTTGATGTGCTTGATTGAGCCAATGCACAGTGTATTTGGGATGGAAAATTCATTTGTGTGTTGTGATGGTGTACAGTGAATTAATGTAGAAAATGAATAAATTTTAAAAAAATTTTAAAAAAAGAACTAATGTGCTCATAGTCATAAAATTGAATAAGTAGCACAACCATGATTCAAGTCCTAGGCTCTGATACTAAGAATTCAGTAAGGGTAATTTGTGCTCTAAATAAATAAAGGCAATTACTTGTCAACTAACTGAAATTACAATACAAATATTTGCTGTCATTTTAATAACTAATTTCAATCAATTCAACAGTTTTGGTCAGCATTAAAGAAAGGACAGGAAATATAGATTTAAAAACATACTACTGGTCTGTTATTTTAATGACAAAATGCATCTGTCATGCATAATCCTCAAACCATGGCTTACAAACTTTCAGTAAAAATATTCTCACTGGTAGAGACATTACACTATCTAGCACCTTATACCTTAATAAAACATTACCAATAAGTGGCCCTCTCTTCCTCCTCAACCCAGAAATTGCCACTAATCTGAATTTCCTATTTATCATTCCCATGCATGTTTCGTGTACCTTTAATGTAGAAAGAGGTGTCTATTCACATAGTACAGGTTTCTATTATGCTATGTTTTTAAAATGAAGCCATTTTGATTGCTATAAGCAATTCCATATACATACATACACACACACACACACACACACACATATATAGTAAATCATTTTCTAGTTAATGGATGCTAATATTGTTTTGAGTTTTACCCTATTCAAAAACAATGCAACAATGAACATTCTTTTATGAGTGTCCTTGTGCATACAATAAAGAGTTCCTGTAAGGTATCTGCTTATGAACAGTATTAGCGGGTCACTTAGTGATTTTAGTAGGGAAAATCTTAAGCTTTACTAAACATTAATCTATGCTGTCACCAGCAATGTATAAAAGATTCTACTGCTCCATATCCATGGCAGTATTTGACACTATCAGACATACCAGTTTTTGCTAATGTTAGGTAAGAAATGGTATTTTATTGTTTTAATTAGTATTTCTCTGATTTGAACAACATTCCCATGACCTCAGAAAATACTCTAGTGTCACTTCCCATTCCATTCAATATCTCTAACCCTAGAAGTAACCACTACTGTTATTTCTAAGCACCATAGTTTTGTCTGCTTTAGAATTTCATATAAAATCCATAGTCTTTACATGGAAAATACAGGTGGAGTTTTCAGAGATTATCTACATTTTTTTTTGAAGAGGTTTTTGCTATAGCGTGCTTGTTCTCGCCTGAAAGAGAGAAAGCGAGAAATCACCCCCCCCGGGGGGGGGATGGCAACACTGCGATCCCTTCTCTATTCTCCTCTTGGGATCTCGGGCATGCTCTCACACGCGCCCACGTGAGTTTAAGCCACCAGGTCCAGGACTTGTACCGTGGTTGACTACATGGGAGTCCAGTAACATAGCCATTGCACCAACTGCTGGTCCTGAGATTATCTACATTTTGAAGCAGTTATATTCTTCTACTCTTTTATACTTCATAATCCAAATAGGAAGGTGGAAATAAGATTGAGAATTTAATTTTTTTTGGTCTTTTTTATTTATAAGTCAACATACTAGGAGACCCTGTTTAAATGACCCATTGAGAATAAGAATAGTAGTTAGATAAAACAGGGGCTTGTACTTTCCCGTATTACTACAGATAAAGACACAGACTAATAGGGGTATTTCTGATGGATTACCAATATTATTGTCTTTTAAATGCTCTCTCCTTACTTTGGCTAAGGCAAAAATGCAAAGAAAATTACATAAAGCATTCAAGTTATAGCTGAGGAGCCACAACTACACTGGAAGAGGAACACACAATATTAAAATGGAGTATTATGCACAGAATATAGTTATAATTCTTAAAATATAGAACTGCCAAAGTATAAAGCTTATTTGTGTTAATGCAATCCTACAATACTAATGTGTGTTTTGAAGAAGAGAAAATATACGTAACAAATTACTCTTAAGAATTACAAAATAATATTAAATAAGACATTTCTAGCAAATACATACACTGTTCTTTTGTCTTGTCGGAGTAGTTTAGAAGAAAATTCACTCAGAATATCAAGAAATGCAAAATTTAAAGGTGGATGACTCTCCCCTTGTGGATTAGGCTCTTTAAAAGCAAATTCTATGCCATCTCTGCAAAAAGGAAAAATCATGTATTTAAAGGACTATAAAAAAAATAACTAAGAAAAGAAGTGTTAACTGTATACTTTCTTTTTAATACCAAGTATTATCTTTATCATCCTTATAATTTGAATAGAAAATAAAGTGATGTGAAAACAAATAAATATCTTTATATTTTATGTTACTTTCTTTGTATTTTGTTACTCACTTTAAAGAAAAACAATTAACATACCAGCTAACCTTCAGTATGAATGTGGTTTACTAAATGTACATTCTTTACTCAGTACTCTTTTCCATATAAAAGAACCTAAATTCTCTCACATAATGACCAGTATACCTTACGTCTATTTTTTTAATATAAAGGAGATTTATCCTAATACATAAAACTAACCTTAAAATAATAATTAATGATATTTGCAATGATCCTTTTAAAACTAAAATTTTAAAATTAAACTCTACTCAAGGCCCATTGTAATTCTATGAGGCAATGAATACCTCTATTAACCAAGATATCAACCCAATATTATACGCTTATCAAAAATGTAACTGGGCAAAAAAACAATCCAGATGGAATTGGGGAAGAAAAGTGGTTATTACATAAAAAAAATCAGATCTTTCTTCTCAAAATAATTACTACATGTGTGATCCTTAAATAACCATCAAATATATTAAAAGGCACAAAACTAATTTTGAAGAGTTTTAGAACGAGGTGAAAGGAAAAGGTAAATAAAACTTGGGGAAGGGATGGGCTTAATTTAAATGTAAGCATGAAATTTTCTGCAAGAGACATTTAACACTGTTTTTAACTAAGTAATAAGCAAGAGGATAAAGAGACAAAAGAGGCAGGCATCAATGAAGGAGAGTCCAAGTCTCTTAATAGTTGCAAAGATAAATTTCTTTAACCCACAGATAAGAGATGAAGAGTTTTAATATACAAATGCTGGTTATGTTAAAGTTCTAAAATATACTCATACTTAAAAAAGTACAGTTAATCACTAAGGTGCATGCCCAATATAAAATAAGATGATTTTCAATTTTGGTAACAGAAAGAAAAGGCACAGAGAAAAAAGGTCATGGCTCAAAATAAGGGAAATGGTCATAACAAAAAAGAGAACAGAACCAAAAGAGAAAATGTATGATAAATAAATCAAACTTCACAGATTTTTCAATTTTTTTAAAATGAAGGCTTTAGGGCGTGTGTGCTCACTGAAGATAGAAGAGAGAGAGAAAATAAGCAGAAAAAGTGAGAGATCACCCTCCAGGGGAGACAGCCATGCCACAATCCCTTTTTCTCCACTCTCCTCCTGGGATTTTGGGCATGCACACACATGCACCTGGTGTGATTTTCAAGCCACCGGGTATAGGACTTAAACCACAGTTGGCCACGTGCCTTAACCACTGCACCACTTGCCTGTCCCAAGAGGTCTCTATTGAGTAGTAAGATTATGAGAAAAATTGATGACATTTTAGTAATGTCTGATGAATAAATATGGCTTTGCTTCATGTAATTCATAAAAAAATTTGTAGTTTTAATTGAAACTAACACCTTCTTATAAAGGAACTTTTAGTCTCAACTCATTTGTTGATTGAAGTAGCACCCTTACTGGTTCTTAGATTTAATGAAGGAGATATGATGCAGATTTTAAAAGAAAGCATAAATTTAATTTAGTTACTTCAAATGAAAGGGTTACATACAAACAAGTTTCATGATTAAAAATTTTGAGCTGAATAAAATGTATGCTGCTTACTTGTGTAGCATGGCAATGGCTTCTCTTGTTTTCAATTGATCGAGTCCAAAAGTTAAAGCAAACCGTCGAGCAAGTTCTTTTATGCCACTAAATGTTGAAGATGACCTATCAAAATTATAGCCATTTTCCTGTATCATTTCATTAAAAAGCTGTTTGAGGGGGGGAAAAAAACATTTAAAAAACTGATAACCATGGATTAATATATTTTAAAATATATTTTCTATTTAAAATATGTAGCTGTTCAACAAATGAGGCACTGTATTTTATCCTAAAAAAAAAAAAAAAAAAAAAGGGCAAGATTTTTAAAAAACATGATACAAGTGTCAAAAACAGCAGCACCTCATATATTTAGACAAGAGGTCTAAATGGGTTTTTATACTAGAAGTCATTACTGACATTACAAACTCTTTAAATTAGTTTTGACAGAATACAATTCGTGGGGACTAAGTATATTGTAACACAGAACATAAAAATATAAAGAAAAAAGAAACCCAATAAATTACTATAACCTATTATTTACATATAAGTAATAAATCTTCACATTAACAATTTTAGCGTAATGTAGTGAGAGCTTTGGAATTTTGATGTCTTTTCCTTAAACAACTATTAATTACTAGACTTTATCCAAAAGAAATGACAATAATATTTATGCCAATACTATGTAGTGCTATTTATTATAATGGTAAAATTGTAAAATACTTCAACATCAAATAAATGATATTGATTAAATTATGGCTATTCCACAAAAAGAGTATTACATAATCATTACAACATGCCAGGTATGTTAAACCTCTAGGTATTTAGTTCAAGAAACTAAAGTCAGTATTTCAAAGATATATGTGGCGAGACAGGCAAAACTTGTAGCTATCTAAGGTATGGAGGAAATAATAGGGATGGTAGGCAGTTTGCCAACATTTGTGAAAATGTACGCATATGATATTAGTGGTAGCAATTCTACCTTAAAATATTGGGTTATATGAAAAGTCATGACGTATTTTCTATGCAAAAATGTGTCATGACTTTTCTGACAACCCAATTTTTATCCAATGTGGTAACAGGTCAAATTTCAAAACTAGTATACAAGGTAGTAAGTACAGTGCAGCACTGTTTGTAATACAAAGATGTCAGGAATAATTTAAAAGTCCCTCAATCAAATATTAGCTAAATATTGGGTCATCAAAAAAGTCAGAACACATTTTGGCATAGAAAAATGCATCATGACTAAAGACATTATGGCATCACTCAAAATAGCCAAGATATAGAAGCACACTAAATGTGTATCAATGGGTGAATGGGTTAAAAAAAATATTTTTACAATTGCAAACCATCTATGATTTATAAAATCATAGATAAGCCTGGAAGATGTTAGGTTAAGTCAAGGAAGCCAGGCACTGAAGGGCAAACACCCTATGATCTCACTTACGTGTGTAATCTAAAAATGTTCAACTCATGGAAGCAGAGAACAGAATAATGGTTATGAGGCCCTGTGGTTGGGAGAAAATAGATGTTGGTCAAAGAGTACCAAGTTTTTAGTTAGACAGGATGAAATCAGTTATAGAGATCTCCTGTATAGTATTGTAACTACAATCAAGAATAATTTATTATATGTTTGAAATTTACTAAATGTCCTTACCACATACATACTACAAAGAATATAAGGTAATGTATATGTTAAGTAGCTCAATATAATTATTTTGCAATGTACACATTTATCTAAACATCATGTTGTACATGCCAAATACATACAAACTTTGTCAATTACTGCTGCTAAAAATAACAAGATTGTTAAATTAAAACATTAAGGATAAGTTGATTTTGTTTCTCTTATCTGAGTGCTCCATAGATAACAGGTATTATTTCATAATGGAAGAAAAATGTAAATGCTATCTTTAAAATCTTTTATATTTTATTAATTTTAATAAAGTATTTAAATTTACAAATAAAGTTTAAAATATTCATCTACATTTCTAAAAGGCAAAAGTTCATCAAATGAAATGGGTTATGTTTTGCATCCAAATTTTGTCTCTAATGACAAATGTATAGTACTAAGCAAATAATTTTACTTAACTAAACCTGCCTTGCATTGTCAAAATGAAAATGACTGCTGAGTTTCGGCTATTCACTTTATATACAGTCACTAAAATAAGTCTGACAGTATATGGAAAGATGAAGTAAAATTCACTTGAAAGCTACCAAAGCAACATTTTGGTTATTATTTTTTTCAAACAGAAAATTTTATAAACAATTTATAAAGACTGTCCTGTATTTTTTTGTCTCAAAGTATAAATTATAAAGAACTTTTATGTATTAATTTAGGTCTGCACTTAAGTGCTACACAATAGCCATTGAAAGATGTATTATCCAATATATTTATTTAAAAAATATTTGATTGAGGGACTTTTATTTTTACTTTTTTCTATTATAAACAATGCTGCAATATACTACCTTGTACAACAAATATTGAAAACTTGTCCTGTTACCATCCGGGATAGTTTTTTTTTTTTTAAGTCGAATTGCTACTGCCAATGCCACACACATTATAAATTTTCATGAATGTTGCCAAACTGCCTAACATACCTATTTCCTACAAACCTTAGACAGCTATCAGTTTTACTAATCTTGCCAGCTTGAAAGCAAAAAGTTATCTCACTTGCACTTCTTTGTCAACTAGTACGGCTCAATATTTTGTATTTCTACTTTCATGAGTTCTGTGTTACATCTTCTTCCAATTTCACCCAGTTTTAATAAGTTAACCTGTTAACTCTTAAGTGCTACTTAACTAAATCTGGAGCTCTTCATGTCTTACCTGTTGCAAACTGAGAATAAGGGTCTTAGCACACTGAATTTTGTCTATCTGCCTCGTTTTGCTCATCGTTTCTTTGATAATATCTCCATAATCATTATAATACTAGAAAAGAAAGTTGCACAAATTAGGACTTACTCTCTTAAATCTGTTGGGAAATAAAACGAAATGTGGTTAGTTATAAAAACATGTCACTATCATTTTGGCCAAAATTATGTCTTCAAAGACAAGAAGGAATATTGCCAAAATGTTAGATCATTCTAAGCACATAATCTGTAAATTCAGTGAAATTCAGAAATACCAAACAGTTAAGAGCTAATCAAATTACACTCCAGACTTGGTTTTAGAAAAGTATGGAATACAACAATTATTACATTAAGCAGATTTTCAGAAGTAACAGCAGAAGGAATGTTCTCTTGTAAACTACTGTATGTAATGGATATAATCACAGTTACTGTCTTAACTTATACAGTGCTACCAGATATATAAGCCATGAGCAGCTTATAACTTTATTAACTTTGGTTATAGAAATTAACATTTGGTAAATAATACGTACAAGAAAACTTATTGGTTTTTTTTAAAGTCGAATTGCTACTACCAATGCCACACACATTATAAATTTTCATGAATGTTGCCAAACTATAGTCCCAGCTATAGCGGTGTACATAGGGCATTATTTTGTGACAGTGGAGCCATGTGGGAAGGCCCTGGTTTCAGTCCCCAGGTCAGTCAATATGAACAAGTGGGCAAGCTGGAAAGCTGGGGTCAGGCAGGGGTATATTGAGGCATGATGAGACCCTCACAGGGTCTCACTATCATTTAAAATTATATGACATATATCACACATTTGTTACAAGAATATTTTTTCTTACTGAAAATCATTTCAAAATACATACACAACTATCAGAGCTAATAAAATATCCATGTTTCTATAAAAAATATGGCTTTACTCTAGAATATTTGAGTCTAAAAGTTTAAAATTTGTAAAATATGTTAATAAACTTTTAAGTTTTCTTAAAAAAGATAACTATTATGCCAAGTGATTTAAGTTGCAAAACAATCTTCAATAGTGCTTAATTCAGAGGTTATCCCAGAGAAGGTTAACTAGATTTTGACAAATTTATTACATATATTTTATTTCTTGAAAGTGAAGGCTTAAAGTCTACATTTCTAATTTTATTTTATTTGAGAAAGAATTTTTAGAACTATCTTACCATATTTAGTCACATACTGTTAGTATAATTAACAGTATCCTTTCTAATACTATTTCTAAAAGAGAATTTCACATATATTTGTGAAAATTTTAAATAAATAACTACTGGGAATAAAGCAGACTTTGAGAGCCAAAAGGCAACCTTAGCTATCACCGTGGAGCATGAAGAAACTCAGGACACAAAATATATTGAATTACTCAAGGTTACAAGCAGCATGGTAATCAAGGTGAAACTACCACCTGGGTTCTCCTAGCTTCTAAAACACTTTTTTTTTGGGGGGGTGGGGTGGGGGGGGTGGGTATTTGCTATAGGGCACATGCATTCACCACAAAGACAGAGACAGAAAGACAGGCCCAGTGTAAGTTCAAGCCACCGGGTCCATAACTCTAACTGTAGTAGACTCCTTGAGTCCAGCAATATAAGCATTATGCCATCTGCTGGTCCCAAAACAACTTTTTAATATGACATCAAGCAGAGGAGGTATACCGTGTTATTGTACACTAAATCGTAAAGCAATTTCTTTTCTTTTTAAGTGTATTTATTTCTTTCACAGAATGAAAATGTGAGAAAAGCAGTCTTGACAGGGTATTAAGCCATCATGCTCCTCCCCCCGGCCTTCTCAGCTTGCCAGGATTCTGGGCACATCTGTCCGAAGTACAAAGGTTGACCAGGGAACCAAACCCCTGATCTTCCACATGGATCCAGCTTCATTTGAGCAGCACATTACCACAGTGCCACAGAGCTGGTCCTATAACTGCAATTTCTAACAGTGACAGTCACCCTCACACAGGCCACTTCCAATGTTCCAAATACAAATGAATGCAATAAACTCAACATGTCCATTCATTAGAGTAATTCAAGTATCAAGTAAATGATACTTAAAAACGTTAAGTATATTTAAACAGATTTTTTCCATATAAAAAATTAATTTACTATCTAAAAAGTTCGATTGCAACCAAGCAAAAAAGCTACTCCTACAATATTTAAATATTTAAAGCTATCTCACTATCCATTTTTCAATTTTACCTTCATATACTGCTTGAAGATATCTGCAGCTGTATTCATCTCCACCACTGAATATACAATTAACTTACAAAATGCTGCAAGTAAATTTCTTCTCTTGTGCAAAGCTGCAATTTTACTGGCTTCTTCCTCCTGCTGACCATCTGGGGAAAAAAAGATCAAAACATTAAATCATCTTGTATTTTACTTTAACCATATTTTTTTAAAAAAAGATTCTCACTATAAAACCTCTTTTATTGGAAAATGTTTAAAAGGGAAAAAATTAAAAATTATAACTACTCATAATTTATTACAATAAACCATTTTTTTCTGATGCCAAATAATAATGTGAAGGTAGACATGTGATCACAGAACAGTAATAAAGGAAGGGAGGGTGTTAAGAGGAAGTGTTAAGAGGGTGTGAAGTCAGCTTAGCTTGCCTAACGCATTCATATACTTACCTATGAGAACAGTTTGTCAATGAGATCTGCATGTTCAATGTCTGTTGGTTAAGATTCTCCCTTTCCTGAAAAGGGCTAACCTTCTCCTATCCCTACCAAGTCTGATGTCACCACACCTCACCTCCACCTCTTACTGACATTTTTCCTTTCCACATATTAAACATATTCAGTTACACTGCCCTAGGAATCATCCTGTCTTTTAAAGATAACTTCAAATATTTCTGCTCTGATCCATGTGAGATCTTAACATTCAGATCCCAAGACAAACTTACTTCCCCATTAGTAGTTGTGGAAGCCTCACTACAACCTCCAGTACTACTGAATTATTGTTTCTAATGATCTAATATAATAGGGTAACTAAAACTGTGAAGACTATAATATAAAAAAGGGTTTTTAAATTTTATTTTAGAGGTTTTTGCCAGGGGATGCATGTGCTCTCCAGAGAAAGAGAGAGACAGAGACAGTGAGAGAGAAAGTGAAACATCACGCCTCTAGGGAGATGGCCACAGCACAATCCCTTCTCCGTTCTCTTTCTGGGATCTTGGACACATACATACACTTGCCCAGTGTGATTTTTAAGCCACCAGTTCTGGCACTCAAACCACAGTCAGCCATGTGATATAACTACTCTGCCATCTGCTGGCCCCAACATAAAGAGTTTAAAGAAATAAAATTGCCTGTAATAAAATATTATCTCAATTTATAGTCCTTTAGTTATCAGTAAGATTTGTCTATATGTTTATTAGTAATTTATAATTCTTGTTTTGTTAACAGTCTATACAAATCCTGCCAGCTTTCAATGTAACATCTACAGTATCAAAAAAATTCTTATATACAATAATATATTCATTGTACTTTCTTTTTAAAAACCCTATCTTTGATGATCCATGACTGGTAAGTTAATTTACTTAAGACAGACAATCAGAAAGTTTATTTTTAGAGATTTTTGCTATAGGGTATGAGCACCCAACAGAAAGACAGAAAGTGAGAAATCACCCTTTGGGTGAGAAATGATCAAGCCACAATCCCTTCTCCTCCATTCCCCTCTTGGAATTTTGGGCACACAGGTACACATTTCCAGAGTGGTTTCAGGCCACCAGATCTGGGACTCAGATCACAGTTGGCCATGCATGTGTGAGGCCAGCACCCTAACCAATATGCCACTTGCTTGTCCCCAGAAAAAGTTTTACACAAGTCTGTTCGAGAATGTCAAAATCATTTACGTAGACATCTAAATGAATTTGGGACCAACAGGTGGCATAATGGCTAAATTGCTGGACTCCAAAATAATTGACCGTGGTTCAAGTCCTTGAACCAGCAACTTAAAACACACGCTGGGGATGTGGTGGGGTGGAGGGTGGGGTGGGGGTGTGATGAAGAAGCAATTTCTGTCTCTGTCGAACACACTTACCCTATAGCAAAAATCCAAAAAATAAAAACAAAAGGAATTTAAACATATATTTAATCTTCTGAAAGATTACAATGATTATTTTAGCTAACTTCGTCTTTATGATGTGATCGGTATAATGAATAATTAAATTATAATATTGTTTCCGATCATTATCTAGTACTGCTCACAGGAACAAAAGGTATATAAACTGTTTCTCTTTCGGTCTAAATTACCCACATATTAACAGTTTTTAATATTGATTTTTTAATTTTTCTCTACTTCTTATCAAACCTGATCCATCTTTTCTCTTCTGGGGATAAAATAATGTATAAAAGTGCCTAACGCACAAGCCACTCATAACTGTCAGTTACCATTATTATGTATTCTCAGTGTGGCTCCTCTAGATATATTCCCTGTTTTACTCTCCCTTTCTAATCTGATTGGGCTAATGAATAAAATATACATGGAGCCTATAGTACCAGGAGTTAGAAGAGCATAAATAGCAATGAAAACTTAGTTGTTTGTGGAAGGATAAAACGGTATAACCACTTTGTAGACATGTGGTCAAATATATGATGCACATAAACTATGCAATCCAGCACTATCATTCTTCATTATACACAAGAAAAGCACTTGCATTATGTGCTAAAGGAGGTAAGCATAAAAATATCTGTTACAGGACCAGCAAGTATGGTGGTTAAGATGCTGGACTCCCACATGGCCAACTGTAGCTTGCGTCTTAGACATGGTGGCTTAAAAATCATGTCGGGGGTGTGTGTGTGTGTGTGTGTGTGTGTGTGTGTGTGTGTGAATGTCCAATATACTGAGGGGAGACCAGAGGAGAAGGGATTACTGTGACCATCCCCCTTGGCGGGTGATTTGTCACTTTCTCTCTCTCCCTCTATCTAGCAAGCTCATGCGCCCTATAGCAAAAAATTAAATTAAAAAAAATGTGTTACAACACTATTTTTAATCAGAGAAAAAATGCAAACAACCTAAATGTCTCAGAAAAGGAAAATGGATAAACAAATTGTGGTTAATTGGTATCACATAATATTTAGCAGTTAGGATAAATAGAAAGTAGGTAACATATCAACACTGAAAACCTGAAAATAATAATTCAAAAAAGCAAGTTACAAAATGTTCAGCATAACCATTTATGTGGAAGTCAGTACCAGCAAATAAACTATGTATTAAGATACATGAGTTTCTAGTAAATCAAAATTAAGATGTAATGGTATGATGAATACCAAATTTAGGAGAGTCATTATCTCTGAGTAAAGAGGAAAAGCAAAAGGATAGGAGGGGGATACAAATGAAGATTTCCTCTGTAACTGTGCTTTATTTCTTTACAAAAAAACTGAAACAAATACAGCTAAATTTGACAATAACTGGTGCGTAGGTACATACAAATCTGTTTTATTTTATACTTTGAATAATACTAGAAGACATTTCATTTTAGAAGCATAAACTTAATAGTTCAAGGAGGGAACCAGCAGTTAGCGTAATGGCTATGTCGCTGGACTCCCACGTAGTCGACCACGGTTCGTGTCCCGGACCCGGTGGCTTAAAACTCACGCCGGGCGCGTGTGCGTGCGTGCCCAAGATCCCGAGAGGAGAATGGAGGAGAAGGGATTGTGGCGTGACCATCCCCCCTGGGGGGTGATTTCTCGCTTTCTGTCTCTATGTCTCTCTCTGTCTGTCTGGCGAGCGCACGCGCCCTACAGTGAAAATCTCTCAAAAAAAAAAAATAGTTCAAGGAGATTAAGACTTTGGTTAAATCTACAAATCTAGAAAATTCAAGAATATCAGAAAGCATAATCTCATTTAATTTCCCATGGTCTAAATGAAGCAGAGACAGTCCTCAACTAAGAAAGCAGTTATGGACCCAAATTTATATCAGGTTTGAGAATGCACTATGCTTTCCAATATTAGTGGTTAAAAATCCAACTCATCTTTTTGTATATAATTCAGATGCTAATAGTATTCCAAGATGCTTTGTCCCCTGCAAACCAGTTAGAACATCATTTCCATGCTCATGAAACTTTGTACATGCCTCCATTACTTAATAAATTACACTATAATTACTCATGTTTAGATGTCTCTTCTACTTGAGCTTAAATCTTGAAGAAACAGGCTTTTTTTTTTTTTTCCAAACCAACAGCATCTACTCTACTGCTTGCTGTCTCTGTAACACAGTGCTTAAGTGTCATGTATTGGAACTAGATTCCATAAGTCTGACTCCATTCTGAATTCCTGACCTGGCAGCTTGTGGGCATGTGCGCATGTATAGCTAAAATCTTCACAGGATTGAGAGATGGAGGGAAAGGAATTGCCGAGTAACCGCACCTGTGTGCGTGCGCGCACATGTCTGTGTGTATGCACCCACAACCTCACACCTCAATCCCTCTCTGTGTACACGGCCTCTGATTAAAAAAAAAGAAAAGTAAATAAAAGTAAACTGAATAGCTGAGACTGAATGGTAAAAAATTAAAAGTGTACAAACTTTACTACATAGATTTTGACAATCGTTTCTCAATTAGCTTCTGCATACAGAACTCTTGCTGTTGGGACCAGCAGTTAGCATAATGGCTATGTCGCTGGACTCCAATGTAGTCGACCGCGGTTCAAGTCCCGGACCCAGTGGCTTAAAACTCACGCCGGGCGCGTGTGCGTGCGTGCCCATGATCCCAAGAGGAAAATGGAGGAGAAGGGATTGCAGCGTGGCCATCCCCCCAGGGGGTGATTTCTCGCTTTCTATCTCTCTCTGTCTTTCTGGTGAGCACATGCACCCTACAGCAAAAACCTCTCCAAAACAATAAAAAAAAAAAAAACTATTGCTGCGGACAGCAGGTGGCATAGTGGTTAAAGCAGGTGGCATAGTGGTTAAAGGCACTGGACTCCCACATGGCCAACCATGGTTCAAGTCCCAAACCTGGTGACTCCCTTTCTCATTTTTCTTCTCTCTCTCTGGTCAAACTGGAAAATAATAATATCAACAAGTAGAGTTAAAATAAAATTATTATTTTAAAAACAAGGGGGAAAAAAACCATTGCTAAAAATAAGCAACAGGCCATGTCTAGAATTATATGTCTACTTAAAACCCTTAAATGCAATGATGTGTTAGTTTTTTATGTATATACATACTGATGCTACATTTTCTTTCAAGTATAACTTCAAATTGAAAACAAATGAAGGGCATAGTGGCATGTTCCTGAACTCATAGGCACTTAAGGCAGAAGGATTGTGAGATCAAGACAGCCTGGGCAACACTTAATTAAAAATAATTATAAAAATTAGGTCAGCCCATAGCACTGCTGGTTAAAGTGACCAGATCCTACATGGCCAATCATCTCTCTGGTGAGTGTACATGCCCTCTGTCAATTTTTTAAATAAACTAATTACTTACATACACACACACACACACACACACACACCTGGAAAAAAAGCTACCTAATGCTATTTGCTTTTTCATGATCTATGCTCAAGTAAGGCATCTCAATATGTAATTTATCCTAACGCTAGGCAAGGATGACTTGATTACTGTCCTATAAATGTACTATGCTGCCGCAGACATTACGAAACAGTTTCAAACATTTCTCTAACTTTCAGAAATCACGTTTAATATCCTCAAAATGCAAAAACCTATGTTATACAAATATACAACAAAAAGTCACTTAAAGAAATACTTTCATTCTCATGAAATCACCTGAATATTGGTATTACTGATGAATTAGGGGAAGAGTAAATTTTACTGAGTACCTACTGTGAGGAATAGTTAAAACTGAGCAAAGTGACGTCACGGTCAGGCGCTATACTCGTCACTTTGCTCTATTTTAATTAATACTCACAGTGGTATGAGGTAACTACACATAAGAAAAATAGGCTCCAGGCTAGATAGAAGCACACGTCTAATTAAAAAGTCTATGCTCTACAACATGGTATTATATTTACAGTATTATAAGAAATGAACACAACTATGCTAGAACATATGGCCATGTTTCACACTATAACAATAAAAAATGTGTAGCAAAAATGTACATCATTTTTACTTAAATCTGGTATGTGGTAGACACACAGATTTAACAAAAAGATGGAAATAAAATTACCTGCACTATTATTATCATCATCTTGTTCAATGAAGACATGATCCAAAATAAAGCTGAGCAACTCCGACTGCAATGACGAATCAGGGGTATAAACTAATGGCTCTAACATGTCACGTCCTCCTGACATAATTTGATGGCTGAATATCATCAAAATATCACACAGAATAGTGAAGGCCTATTAAAAAGAAAACAAAGCATGTTATAATCCAAAGTTTCTCTCCAACTGCCACAAATAACTTACATATTCAACACAAAAACAGAACCTAACTGCATTTGAAACTTAAGAAAACTCATTTTTTAGTATTTTCCCAATATTTTTAAAGCTAAACATAATTTCTATAACAACAGCTACTAGTATTTGGGGGATGATTTCTCACTTTCTGTCTCTCCCCAGCAAGCGCATGTGCAGGATAGGAGGGGAGAGAAAAAAAGTAAGGCCAGTATCTCGGTAGCACGGGCAAATGTAAAGTCAATGTTTCATGTATTTGGATTGGATCTGTGTTTACTTCATTAATATCCTATCCTGGGCTGGCCCTTTACTGCAGCAGTACAGTGCTATGCAGAGGTACCTGAATCTCAAACGGATGATGAAGGTTCAAGTCCTGGCCCTGCATGTGCACATGCAGGATCCTGAAGGGACAGCGAATTGTTTTCTCTATTATAAATTGGGTGCACATATATGCCCTCTGGCATCTAAAAATTAAAAATACCCTAATCCAATCATTTCTATCTAAATTCAATTTACAATCATCAGAAATCTTGTTGCAAGTCAGCTGGTGTCCTGCTAGTTAAGAGAGAGGGATCCTACATGGCCAACTGTGACAGTAAGTCCTGGACTTGGCAGCTAAGAAATTTGCCAGGTGTTTGTGAGTACAATGTAAGTTATGGAAAATCCCCTTCTATTTTTGCAAGTAAAATGAAAATTCACTAACTGCATCTTAAGCACTAAGTATCTTCTAAATTTTTTAAAAATTTAACTTTATTTATTTATTTAAATTTGACCAAGAGAGACGGAGGGGGAGGGGGAGAGAGAGAGAGAGCGAGCGAGCGAGCACGCAAAAGCAAGTGAGCAAGCCAAAGGTCCAGCACTCGAACCGCTGTCAGGCATGTGGGAGTCCAGCATCCCTAACCACCATGCCACCTGCTGGCTCCGATGTCTCCTAATTTTTATGCGTGCACAAAATCCCAAAAGGAAAGAGAAATGGAGAAGGTGTTGGTAGCGTGACCATGCCACATGGGAGGCAGGGGTACTTTCTCACTTTCCCCCCTTCTCTCTGACAACCGTGCACTCTCTGACAAATTAAAAAAGAGTAGTAAATACACTCTGAAGTAAAATCATCAGTACTCAACATACTATACCTTCCAAAAATATACTATGTTAACAACTGAGATTCTATCCCAACAAACAAAGCTTACTTAGGCCGCATAAAATGTTCCAAAAAACCTTGAATTCACAATAAATATTCTGATCATACCGTTTTGATTATTTCATATTAAATGCTTATCGTAACTTTTTCCAGACAGAAGAACTTAAAACACGTTTCCAATAAAGCTTATTTCTCTAAATTTGTGAGTATACTAAACATGATCTTAGTCCTAGAATTAAACCAGGTAACAATCTTTTTCCAAAATGGAGAAGGTCAACAGTAATGAAATCATCAATATAAGGTGGGGAGGTAACACTTAGAGAACAGGTAAATAATTTAATTTTTTTTTTCAGATGAAGTTCACAGAACAATTAGAATGGGTAGGAATGTCAACATCTGATAAAAATTCTCAAAGATGACAAAACCTTATATGCCTTTCCTCTCTGAAGCAAATTCGTTTTACTTGTTGCCTTCAAAATGACTTCTGTAACTTCATACACCTATATTTTGTATACATGTGTCTATTTATTGTGATTCATAAGAAACAAAATCAAAACAACTACAATGAGAGTAAATCTATAATGCAAATACAAAAACCATGAGAAATGTCAACTTTATTATCTGCAAGGCTAACGCATTAATCTATTTTCAGTAGTATGGTATAAACAGGCAGATACAAGATTATTTCTACTTTGCACAATAATATGACTTAAATTTTCTATATCAGTACAAATTTTATAAAGGTTGATTACAAAAGATCACTATCTTTGAAAATTACTAACCTGTTCCTTAACAGTAGTATTCACGTTGGTAAGGTAATGTTGACATATCTGACAGAAGACCCTCATCTGTTTCTTTAAACGCACTAAGTCCTCCTTGAAAGAAGTTAACATGAACATTTGAAAACACTGCTTAAGATGTTTCAAATTACTTAACATTATCATATATATACTACTATATTAAGTCTCCTTAAACAGCGGATTTAAATTTTTCTTTACAATGCTATCAGAAGAGAAAACAACAATAAAAATTAAACCATTTTTTCTTACTAATCTTACCAATCTAAAGCCTTATCAAGATCAGGTATATTAATGCATAATCTATGAAGTAGTCTGGATCTTTTACAATGAGAACACTTAAAAAATTACATATGGTTATCTTTAATAACTCCACTAATTTAGAATACTGAAAAAAGTAAAGATTTATACTCCACACTCACTTCATTATTTGAAGGATGGCCAATTCAGAAATGCAAGAAAGGGAACCAGCAGCTAGCGTAATGGCTATGGCGCTGGACTCCCACGTAGTTGACCACGGTTCGCATCCCAGACCCGGTGGCTTAAAATTCACGCCGGGCGCATGTGCGTGCGTGCCCAAGATCTCGAGAGGAGAATGGAGGAGAAGGGATTGAGGCGTGACCATCCCCTCTGGGGGTTGATTTCTCGCTTTCTGTCTCTCTGTCTCTCTCTGTCTGTCTGGCGAGCACAAGCGCCCTATAGCAAAAACCTCTCAAAAAAAAATAAATAAATAAATGCGAGAAAATAATAAAAAGGATGGCATGTACCACATTTTATTTGAAGAATACTGGTTATACTTAAAAAGAAAATACTAAGATAAGGCAAAAATCAGTTCTGTGGTACTACTTTGAACTTTTAAGTGCCTCTTAAACTCACAGTAAAAAGATAAATCTTGTTCCTACGTTTTTTTCCTATTTTTAAATATTTACCAGTTTATTTGAAATAAAAAATTATTCTATGAAAAGTCAGCCACATTAGGCTATTAAGTTATAACCTGTGGTTGGTCCATCTTCTGCTTCTGGATGCCAAATGACAGGGCATGAGTTCATATTTGGTATATGTAATAGAGATATTTAATAAAAATAGATTTAAGATGGAAATCACATTTGGTAAAAAAAAAAAAAATCAAACTTATGCAGTATAGTACTTTTTTATTCACTCTTTTCCTCTAGTCAGAAAACAGCCCTTTTCTTATTTTAACTCAATTTTCTTTATTAAAAGTATTAATCATTTTTCCCATTAACTTAACTTTCATCATAGGTGAGCAATCCAATGAGCAAATATGGTCACTGTTCCTACTATAAGCTAGGTATTTAGCTAAATAAACTTCTTCCTAGGCACTTGATAAAAAGTATACTTTTGACAATACTATACTGATTTTTTAAGATTTAAAAAAAGTCTGCTTTTACATATAACAATATCTTAAAAGCACAAATAATCTAAGCATTTAACAATATTCTGTGGATTTTGGCGATACAAACCTATTATCAAGAGGATTCCTAAATAAAAAATATACCTATAAACAACTAAATCTACCAACTCTCTGATAATGCCTGTGAGACCAAAGAATATTTACTGCAACATCCATTATCATAAGTACAATGTTTAAGAATTCAGTTAATAAATGGAAAAGTCAATCATGTTCAGTTCCAACTATTAAATATATAGAAAAGGGTTAATGGTATGCATAAAATTCTATGTTCTGCTTACTGGCACATTAAACGCAAGTAGAAAATGATTTATCACAAATTTGGAATGTCGGTAGCAAGGCCCTGAACATGAATAAGGTGATTCCAAGACAATACCAGGTAAAGAGAAGATCTTGGGGCATCCAACATACTATCTTAATATATATAATCCAATAGCTTTATCTGTTTATTTGAAAGGCACTTGGCCATGACTTATATATAATATCTGTCTGTTTGTATTTGTCAATTTTGAAAATACGGAAACCTTTTAACTATTCCATTTTCAAATGCTAATAACATTTTTAAATTAAAAATCCTATCTTGAAACAAACCATATTAATGTTTTTTCATTAAGTGTACATCTAACTACAAACAGGAATGGTTCTAAAGGTATATGTTTATAAATAGTTAAGAGTAATAAATAAAACTTCACTGAAGTAACTGGTCTTATTAAATGTGGAAGTTTGCTAAAATCCATTAATGATATTTAATCTAATAAAAACAAACTTAACTACCACAAACCTTTGTTGAGCTGCTTTCAGTTATCTTAGCAAGCTGCCAAAGGATTACATAGTGAGTACACTGCAGTGCATGAATAACAATCTGTAAAAAAAGATAAAGAGACTACAGTTAAAATGTTAAAGTCATAAGACTTTATTCTCAAAGTTAAAACATGCAACTTGAAAATAAATAAAAACCTGTTCTGGCATGTCTCCATTTTCAATTCCGGTTTTTAACAGTTTGTAATTACAAGCAAACAAATCCCACTTTGAAAGATCATGGGCACTGTAAAAAACAAAATTAAGTTATATTAAAAAGCTAAGCTTAACACAATCATTTTGGATTTAAGTGTCAAGAGAATAGGGCTGTTCAGTAAACACAGAAAAACACTTAACATACCCCCAGAGCAAAGAGTAACTTTAATAAGTGTGTTAAGATAATAATGTCATACCCCAATTCAAAACATGACTCTACCAATTATTTTTTTCTCAAAAGCAAAAGAACTCTAGAAAAGAATCTGCTATTAAAACTCACAAAACATGCAAACTGATTTTGACATTGCTATAGTTTTAAAAGTTAGAAAACGTAAAGACTCAACTTACTTATGAAAAGCAGTGATCCTCTTTAACGTTGACAATACCTGATATGCATCATCCTCATCAGGTTCTTCACCCTATGAATATTAGTTATACATTAAAAATCACCAAAATGCAAAAATCCTCAGTTATCAAAATGGTAACACCACCTTTCAAAATTAAAGAATACCATGATAAAAACAACAAAGTAACTCTCATTCAGTATCTAGATCTGACCAGATTGAAAACAACATGGCTGGGAGAATGAGTCAATACAAGGTTATTATCACAGGCAAATCATACCCAAGAGAGAAAGCTGGCATGAGATTCTTCTCCCTTTTCTGTTTAAATAACACTAACAGAAAACTACCAAGTTATTTTTTGTTTCATAGGGGGGGAAAAAAAAACACACCACACTAAGACAATAAGAACTATATTAGGTGACAAGAGATCATTAAGATAACACCTAAAGGACACAACCCAAAATACTAAATGTGGTACTCTTAAGAACGAGCTATCAGGGCTAATCAGTGGCATGGCGGTTCAGACAGCTGGATCCCACATGACCAACATCATAGTTGAGATCCAGACCCTGTAGCTTGAAAATACACTAGATGTGTGTGCATGCATGCTCCAAATCCTGAGAGGATAGTGGAGGAAGAGGGATCACAGCATGCCCTTATCTCTCACCCAAAGGGGGGAGGGGAAGGCAAGGTTGATACCTAGCTCTCTCTCTGGTGAGCGCACATGCCCTATACAAAAAAAAAAAAAAAAAAAAGTATCAGAGTAATCATAAGTAAAAACGGAAAAAATCCCTCCAAATAATTACTACACATGCTAGTCCATTCTAGATACAACATTTGTTAGTATACTTTTTGATTTAGTGTAATTTAAGTTTTGGAAAATTGTACAAGTCTTACTATATACAAGTTTTATGACATGAAATATTGTTTTTGTTTTGTTTTGTTTTGTTTTTTTTAATTCCCAGAGGGAGCATGTGCTCACGAGACGTACAAAAGGGGAGAGAGAAAGGGAAAAAGCAACCCCAGCACAATCCCTTCTCCTCCATTTCACTGTACTCTCAGGATTTGGGGCATATCTGCATGTGGTCTGATGGCCTAGATTCAAACCTCAGTCTACCATATGAGATCTGGTTGCCTTAACCACAGGGTAGGGAGGGAGGGAAGGTAGTACTTGCCCCAAAATTGTTTACTGAATCTACTGTATAGAACTCCAGATCACTACAAAAAACGCTTGCTTTTAAAACTTTAGTTTTTCAACAAAGTAATTAACCTTAATTAACAAACCACTGCTTGATTTCAAATTAACTTGTCCTCATCACAATCATATTCAGCCAAGAGTAGAGTCATTAAAATTTTAAACTAAGAATGTGATCATTGTAAATCAACCTATTTACACAAACCTCCAATTAGTAAAACTTAGTAAGCCTAGAATAATGTTACACACAAAAAACTTTTAAAAATTGATAAAACAAGAAAATTGAAAATTACAAAGTACAGGTCATTTGTGCAGCCTTAATAATAAAAGTGGTATGGAAAAGGTCAAACCTTTAATTTGACGATTATGACTTTTATTTCATTTAAATAAATTATAATGTAAATATGTATTTCCAGAAAAGATAAGAATCTCAAAGACACAAGTATCTTTCCGTACTGTGCCCCTTTGTAAATTCAAAAGAATAACACATAAATCTCCAAAAGAAGCAATGGCCATGGACAGCAATTTATTAAGGCTTTATATATCAAAGACCACAATGGGCTTTTCTCACCAACACTACAAAAATACTAATACCCTATACTTTGTCAGACTACTTGGTTTCAGCCTAACTCTCTTTTATTGTTCCATAACACCCTATTCTCTAATAGCCCCTCATTCAACTAAAACTAGGTAACTGCTCAGACCATGTTTTTAATCTTTAAAAAATAAATAAATAAATAAAGGAACAAGGAAACTAGTCAGTTTTCCTCTCAACTTCTTCAAGCCAGATTCTTAACATTTTCCTATTTTGGTACAAGAGTATGATAATCTGGTGAGCCACAAAATGAAAAGCCTGAACATTTTTAAATCAACCACTAAAGACTACGGCCGGGGCTAATATTTGAATGACTATTTAGGAGACTGGAGAGGAGGGAAGCCCAACTGAGAAAACAATTGTAATATACCTCTTGCAGAAAATCTTCAAGAAGCCGATTAAACTTGTCCGCCAATTCATCTATCAGTTGACTTCTTGAAATATCTACTCTGTTAAAAATTGTGAATTCTTCATTACAGAGTGCATGGTAAGTTTTAGAACATGCTTCCAAAACATCTGTATCTGTGTGCTTCTCTACAATATTACGGATCTGTCTCAATAAGGCATCCAAATGCTGCAAAAGAATATTTTTTCATTAAAATTGAGTCAAGGACTGACGATACAACCATACCACTGCAAAAGAAATTTATAATTATAGTACTCTATAATACAGTGTACATTCTAAGAAGTATTTCGAATCACAGTTAACAGTTTCATCCACCAGTTCTTATTTAATCAATTTTAACAGGAATAATATTACCTATTTCACAGGGGTTTGGGGGCAATGTTAATACATATGAGGGGACTTAAAAAATTTGTGGGGGGGAACCAGCAGTTAGCGTAATGGCTATGTCACTGGACTCCCACGTAGTTGACCGCGGTTTGCGTCCCGGACCCGGTGGCTTAAAACTCACACCGGGCGCGTGTGCGTGCGTGCCCAAGATCCCGAGAGGAGAATGGAGGAGAAGGGATTGCGGTGTGACCATCCCCCCTGGGGGGTGATTTCTCGCTTTGTCTCTATGTCTCTCTCTGTCTGTCTGGCGAGCGCACGCGCCCTATAGTGAAAATCTCTCAAAAAAAAAAAATTTGTGGGAAATGGAATTCAAGTATAAGATTATTACCTGTCTAAAAATTTTTTAAATTCATGTATATTTTTCCATAATATACATTTTACATTAACTTCTTGAAAACACCCTCCCCTTTATATAATGAATTTATAATAGTTACTGGAACACAAAGTATGCAGTTAACATTGGCATTTATTTCATAACTATATCCGATTACCCACCCCCCACTCTACATAAACGATCAGTCAACTGAGAGCTAAAGATGAAGCTATGGCTTCGGACATAAAGCAAAGAAATGCCTCATGACACCATTCTTTAAACCAAATAAATCTAAATATAGAAGATATGTAAAATACAGGCATTCTTTCATATTATGGAAAAATTTTCAAAAACCATAAAGACGGAACTTTACTAATCATTTTTCTTCAAGAGACTGTGTACACTTACCTTTTCTAATCGTCCAGTAGTATATATTTCCAAATCAAAGAACTGAGGCAACTGCAGCAAGTTAGTCACCTTCTCTGCATCTACAGAGTACTTTCAAATAAAAAGATCATGTTAAAAACATTACAATATTAATCATTGTACGTTCCATCCTTACACTAAAAAAACAAAAATCACATTATAGACCCCTGAAATACATGTGGTTATTAAATCAATGAGAAAAAAAATCAATGATGAGTAAATATTATAGTATTCTCTGAGGCATTAAAAAAAAAAATCCTGTGGTGGGCCAGCAGGTGGTTAAGACAATGGACTCCCATATGTCTGACCACAGTTCAAGTCCTAGACCCAGAAGCTTAGAAATAATGCTGGGCCATGTGCGTACATACACCCCCAAAATTACAGAAGGAGAATGGAAGAGAAGGGGCTGTAGCATGGCCATTCTTTGTAGAGGGATGATTATTCACTTTCTCTCTCATTTCTCTCTCTAGTGAGCATACACACCCCATGGCAAAAACCTTAAAAAATACCAAATAATCCTGGAATTTCTTAGTAACACTATGATATTAACACAAACTTACTTTTGCTAATAACTGAGGAAGAGCGACTGCGAAGAGTTCGGTGATTTTTGTCCTGTCATCCAACTGGGTCTTCTTCTCCTTTGCTGTCAGCACCTAAGGTAATACAAAGATGTTTATAAATATTTAGTACGCCTTATAACACTATTAAGTGACCAAGTTTTAGTTAACACACAGGAAATAAATGGCAAAACTGTATTTTAAGTAACATAAAAAAATTCTATGAAACTTTAGTCCTGAAGTGATATAAACAAGAATAATCTATACAGTAATGAAAAACAAGGTCCTCTAAAATAACAACAACAAAAAAAAGACTAGCTTTAGAGGAAAAAAAAAATCAATGCCCAATTAAGACTAATTAAATATACCTTTGGATGGAAGAAGCAGCAATCAGGAATAGGAAATATACTTTAGGAGATTATACAAGGGGTCTTCAAAAGCTTGTGGAAAATACACACTATGAAAAACTATGCATTAATTTCAATTTTTTGCAACAAAATATATACTTTAATTCTACTTTTCCACAAACCTGAAGTCCCCTCGTATCCTAAAAGGACTGAACAGCATATCTGCTTACTCTAGGCTGTGGGCAATGACACACAGGCTATGAATTCAGAATGTAAGAACCTAGAATGTGCCACATACCATAACTATCATATATCTGAAGAAACTGTGTTTCAGTTATATAAAAATACACATGTATGTATGAGCTAGGTCATAATAATGTATTTTTTGTTCTTCACAATGAAAAAAGTTTATAAAAGCCAGTAAAATTGGTAGTTCAAAATGAAAGTACATGTAAACTGTACAGTAATGCATTAAAACCTGAAACCAGGAAATAAGAATCTCCCCCATTTTAGTGAATAATTTTCTCTATTTCTATTTTACATTAGAAGAAAAGGAAAACAAATCTATAAATAAGTCAAAACATACAAATGAACCACTCTGAAATAGTGTAATACATTCAGTCTTAAAGGCAGGAACTAACAATCACTGTGCTAACAAAAGTATCAGATGAAAGAACAGAAATTGTTCAACTTTTTACTACTTTAAAATTTACTTTTAACACGTACTTATAGAAAAAGATTACTTGAAAAATAAAAATATTCAAAAATTTCTGTTTTATGGCTAAAAAACAGATTTTTTAAAAGATAATGAAAAAGGAAAAATACAGTTTAGAATATCGAAAATAAATTGGCATACCCTTTTTCCAGACCCTCTTCCCACAGGAGGATGACATTCAGCTGCTTGTCTAATAGTACAAAGCATTATCTCAATCAGAGCACTCTCTTGCCTGTCTGTTAGTGCTAAAAAAAAGAGAAAGTTAACCTATTTTTTCTGTCTATATGCTACTTGTAATTATTACATAACTGTATCTTCTGTGTATGAATAGACTCTGACCTAATGTACTAGAGAAAACCCCATTACTCAATCACAGAAAAGATCCAAAACAGTTAAACCTTCCAGAATCACTCAGCATTCCAAATCTGTCCACCATTGATCAATGCATTTGAGCAAAGAAAATATAAATCGATATAGAAAAAAAGATAACAACTACTTCAATAAAGCATAATATTCACTGTATATGAAAACAAAATTATGTGCAAAATATGAATTTCTATCAATCATTTTAACACTAAATAAATGGAATGAGTAAGATCTACTTTTACAATAAAACTATACAGACAACAAAAATATCATAATTAAATATCCTTACCTTCCTCTCCACTAAGAGGCTCTTCTAACAACAAGCTATTCATACATTCCCAGTCTTTCAGCAGCTCAGTAGCACAGTCCCACATGCTATCCACAAGGTATGCTGCATGCTCATGTAACTAAAATTTAAAAAGAGCGATGTGCTCTTAGACAAACAGTGTACTAGTTTTAATTCCAAAGACTGGAAGCTTTGTTGCCACCATTTACAAACTCTCAAATAAAAAATTTTTGAGGTCATATGGAAGAAAGGATGAAAGAGGAAAAACCACCTTAGCATACTATGTTTAAGTTAACCCTGTTACATAGCATCATTAAACATTTTTCACAATAACCATTAAAAAGTAACATGAAAATTATTCTATGAAAACATTGTATGCATAGGTACTGCTTATTTGGAACTAACAATACATTAACTATGCCTGATTCACAAATACCAGGAAATTTCTAAAGTTCACGGAAAAAATGAAATTAAAGATCCACCTAATTATACAGATTGTGGTAGAATGAGATGCAATGCCATAAATTACATGGCCATCTACCGAGCATGGATGTCTGGGTTGGTGGGGAAACATGCCAGGCAAGTGCACTGCTGCCCAGGACCTTTGACAAGTTGAAGTGCTAAGAAAAGGAGTGTTCGAGCATACTGAGACTCTATCAAAGGTATTTTGCTTTCCTCTTTCTCTCGTTCATACACAGGTACTCTCTAAAATGACTTAAATTTAAAAAAAAAAAAAAAAGATGTTTATGGGGACCAGCAGATGGCATTATGTTGATGAACTCTCACATGGCCGACAGCAGTTCAAGTCCCATACACTTGAAACTCACGCCAGGCATGTGTGTGCACACACACCCAGAATCCAAGAGCAGAAAGGATTGTGGCACAGCACTGTGGGGGTCTCGCTTTCTGTCTCTACTGCGAGTGCACATGTCACATATCAAAAATCCCTCTAAAAGAAAAAAAAAAAAGGGAATAAGCAATCTGATTACAAATTAGGAAAAAAAGATGTTTATGGATATCCTTGTTTAAAAGTTTATGAAAGAAAAAAGGAATGTAAGGACATGATTATTTTGCCCCCCCACCCAAAAAAAATCCATGCAGATTTTTCTTAAGGCTAATTTTCCATTATCTTTGAAGACCTCTTTTCATGAATTTATTTTAACACAAGAATGCTATAATTGCCAATTAAAACATAAAGTAAGTGTTCACCACTCCAGTTAATATAAAGGCAAGGCATTCTCTTCATTCCTTGACATTTAAAAGACCCTACTGCTTCCTAACTCATTTTAGGGGGTGAACATACCATGGTACCAAAATCCATCAAAGAAATTACAAATAAAATGATAGAGGGGCCAGCAGCTGGCTTGGTGGTTAAGGGCGCGGGATTCCCACAGGGCTAATCCTGTAACAAATCTCTGACAAGGTGGCTTGCTTTCTCGCTTCCCCCCCACCTCAATGGCCAAATTTAAATAAAGAGACCAGCAGTTAGCATAATGGCTATGTCGCTGGACTCCCGTGTAGTCGACTGCGGTTTGAGTCCTGTACCCGGTGGAGTAAACTCATGGCGGGTGCGTGTACATATGTGCCCAAGATCCTGAGAGGAGAATGGAGTAGAAGGGATTGCGGCATGGCCATCCCCACCGGGGGGTGATTTCTCGCTTTCTGCCTCTCTGTCTCTCTCTTTCTGGCGAGCATACGCACCCTATAACAAAAACCTCTCCAAAATATAAATAAATAAATACATAAATACATTTAAATAAAATATATTTTAAATTATTTAAAATAAATAAATAAATAAAATTAAAATAATTGAAAAAATCTTTCAATATGACTCAATACATTAACATAATTAAAAGACAAAATAAAACAAGTATCTCAAGTAATACATAAAAGGTGATTTATAGGGAACCAGCAGTTAGCGTAATGGCTATGTCGCTGGACTCCCACGTAGTCGACCGCGGTTCACGTCCCGGACCCGGTGGCTTAAAACTCACGCCGGGCGCGTGTGCGTGCGTGCCCATGATCCCGAGAGGAGAATGGAAGAGAAGGGATTGCGGCGTGACCATCCCCCCTGGGGGGTGATTTCTCGCTTTCTGTCTCTATGTCTCTCTCTGTCTGTCTGGCGAGCGCACGCGCCCTATAGCGAAAATCTCTCTCAAAAAAAAAAAAAAAAGTGATTTATAGAATTTAACATCCATTCATTATAGAATCTATCTGCAGAAAATGGGATAGAAGGAAACATCCTTAATCTGATAATAAAGATCTATATAATATCTATAACAAACACCATATTAATGCTGAAATATTGGATGCCTTCGTCACAAAAATCAAGAATAAGTTAAAGATGTCTACTCGCACCACTTCTATTCAACACTCTACAGGAGGTCTATCCAATTCAGTAAGATCAGAAAAACATAAATGGAAAAAAAACTGCATATCACCAAGTAAAATTATCTTTATTTTCAAATGACCTGATTATATATTATAGAAAATCCTAAGGAATTTATTTAAAAATTACTAAAATAAACAAATTTAGCAAAGTTACAGGATTTAAAATCAATATTAAAAAAATAATTATGAATACAGAAACAAAGCATTAGAAATTAAATGAAAAGGTCTTAACAGTAATTAAATAATACATAATATGAACACCAAAAATGAATTTTCAGTCCTCTTAAAATATATGTGATGGATAGATTTTTAACTTCAAGAGAGACTGCTATAAATCCACATCTACAACAATGGTAATAGCAGGTATCAACATTTCAGAACTTATATCTAGCTCTGTGTTAAAAGTTATACATGGATTTCTCAGTGTTACTTAAAATAATTATTTTCTACTTTTTATGAGAAAACTGAGGCTAGTAATATAACTGGTAAAGATAGGTGTCAAACTGTTATTCAAGTTTTTCTGCTTTCAAAATTTATGTCCTCAGCACTATACATAAATTGTGTTGTTTGAACAACTTACCAAAAGTACAATGCATTTTTAAAAGGTTTTGTGGAGTACATAAATCCCTATTCTAAATTTACTGCGCTATGTGGAAGCACTGAAGATGTACATCATTTTACGCTCTTCTCCAAAGTTTTATAAACATAAGTAGACAACATCAACTAACCTCACTTTCCAGAAAGAAGAAAACTAATGTCTTAACAAGGTTGGCATTTGGACCTTGTCTTCCCCTTCTTTTCATTATTCCATCCTCCTCTGGATCTCTACGACTGAAGAGCCTATGAGCAAAGCAAAATATTCATTTTAAAATAAAAAACTACTCTATACATCAAAAAATTAACTGTTTGCATTCCATATTTAAGTATCCAACAAAGGAGGAAAGGGGAACGAGGTAGGTACAGACTGTTCAATATTGTAGCATCAAGCTGTGCGGCAAATAACGGCAATAAACCTTTTTCAGCTTGCTTTTTAAAAAAATGTATTTTTTTGCCAGATGGTGTATGTGCTTGCCAAAGAGAGAGAGAGAGAGAGAGAGAGAGAGAGAGAGAGAGAGAGAGGGAGGAAGAGGGAGAAAGTACTCCCCAATTGGCATGGTAACACCACAATCCCCTTCTCCTCTACCCTGTTGGGATTCTGGACACACACACACACAAACACACAGAAACACACCTAGTGTGTTTTTTCAAGCCACTGGGGCCAGGTAGAATCAACCATGTAGAATCTGGTTCCCCTACCCACTAGGCAATAGGGCTGGCCCACATTTCCTGCTTGATGATACTTCTTGTTTCCTCATGATGGTAGTCCTTGAAAAATTAACTACTCAACTTAATTGTATTAAGTTAGAAACTTTACGGTGTCTTATACAACTGCTTCCTTTCATAATACACTAACCGTACCATTTATGCACAAAAATGTATGGTACGTATTCTTAAAAAATGAACATATCATTTCCTTCTACTCTTACGAAATTATCCCAACTTAGTGACCACTTTCTATGGATGGCATGGCTGCTGTTCGTTAACAGAAGATAACTAACATAGGATAACAATTAAGAAAATCGAAGTGTGGACATCTTTCACTACCTACTCATTCTAATAAATAATGGAACTACTTTTTTTTTTTTTTGGAGAGGATTTTGCTATGGGCGTGTGTGCTCGCCATTCAGAGACAGAGAGACAGAGAGACAGAAAGCAAGAAATCACCCCCCAGGGGGCATGGCCATGACACAATCCCTTCTCCTCCATACTCCTCTCGGGAACTTGGGCACACACGCACACATGCCCGGTGTGAGTTTTAAGCCAGGGGGTCCAGGACTCGAACCACGGTTGACTACATGTGAGTCCAGCGACATAGCCATTACGCCAACTGCTGGTCCCAATAATGGGCCTTCTATAGGCACTGCAATAGGACTTTACTCGCCACCCAAAAATAGTTTAATCTACATGGTTCAAAGAGTTCTCATTTAAAGTCATTGAATAACTTTTATTGAATATTTTCTGTGATTAGATAGCTATACTGCCATCCATACTACCGAATCTGAGATATTATATAGCATCACAGATATTGTAGAATTCTTGAGATTCTGCTATCAAAATATATTAAATACCTAAAGCATAAGTTTTAATATGTGTTAAAACAAAGTAAAAACAATCTTAACACTATTGTAGTATAGGCAATATTTGGAAGTTGAAGTAGGTAAAAAGTGTGAACAATATGGAAAAAGGTTTTAATATTATATATTGATGGGTTGCTTTAGTGACAGAGAAAAGTTCTGAGAAACTTGTTCTTAGGTAATTCCATCAATGTTTAAACATCACAATGTACTTAAGCAAACCTAGACAGTGTAGCCTACTATATAGCTAGGCTATATGTCACTGACTGAAATGTTATGTGGTGCATGACTGTAGTTAGGGGTATTTTTAGCTATATCCATTAACAGACATGGAGCCATTTCCCTTTAAAAGACCTTATTAGATACACATCATAGTTTCAGATTTTTAAAGGAAAATGTCCCCATGTCTTTCAATGAATATACTCAAAAAATGTAAATAAAATATATCTGTATTGAAACATTACAATATATGCCATAAAATATAGACAATTATGATGTGTCAATTATAGTAAACCTTTTTTAAAAAACGAATAGATAAAAGGAGTTGGGGAGAAGAAACCTAAACTTTCAAAGGAAACAGTAAAATGTGAATGGTTTGATTTGACCCATAGTAGTATTTTTAATTACTTCTTATACAATATATTACTAAATAGACAATAAAATAAAAATTTACTTCTTGTAGAGAAATTCTCCAGCTGCTACTGCTACTGGCCGGTGAGACGAATAAACCAGATGATAGACATTTTCACAATCTTCTGCTGTAAGAACTTCTTCACTACTCCTAAAAAGGAAATAAGCAATAACAGCTTTTTTTAGTGAGGACATAAAGTATTTAAGGAGTACAAAAATGCACACTGAAGGCCAGCCAGGTGCCATGGTGGTCAGGGCACCTAGATTGTATAAGGACAAGTATGTGGCGCAAGAACCAGACCCAGGGTCTTGAGAATCATGCCAGGCCTGTGTGCAAACATGCCAAAAGTCCCCAGAGGAGAATGGAGGAGAAGGGATGGTGTATGGTGTATTCATGCCCCCTGGGAAGTATTGGATTGTCAGAAAAGTCATGACAAATTTTTCTATGTAAAAACACCTACTGACTTTTCCTATGACTCAATAATTTCTCACCTTGTCTCTCTCGCTCTTCCTGTCTCTTTTTCATAGTACACTAAAGTACATACCTTATAGCAAACTTTAAAAAAAGCATTCATACATTTAAAAATTGTAAACTTCTACACATTTATGTTAAAGGGAAAAAAAAACAGAAATCAACCTTATTTAATTATTGACTCTGATAAGAGCTTTCCAACGAAAGAGCCAAGTATTTTTTTAAGGATTACTAGGAGCTATGCCAGCTCATGATGTGGTAATTAGGGTGACTGGCTCCCACATGGCCCAGACCCAGTGGCTCAAGCATGACTTCTCAAAATCCTAAAAGAAGGGAGAAATGTAGAAGAAGGGATTATGCTGCAGCCATTCCCCAGGGGGATGTTTGCTAGCTCTAGCTTACGCTCACTTGCTCGCTCACTTGCGCGCTCGCTCTCTCTCTCTCTCTCTCTTTCTCTCTCTGGCAGTTCATTTGTCTTCCTGCAAAATTAAATACACACACACATGCACACATATTAATGGGAGTTAAATTAAGAAGGAATACAGAATATGAATATTTAAGTGTTGAAGCAAATAAAGGGACACAGGAAACAAAATGACGAAAACTAACCTAGTGTAGAAAGTAAAGTGACAGCATGCTAGAGGTTAGAGTTAATCACAGATAACACTTTGCACATACAGATTGAGTATCCCTTTTCTGAAATGCCTGGAACTAGAAGTGTCTCAGATTTCAGATTTTGTTTTTAAATTTTAGAATATTTACATGAACACAATGAATTATCTTGGAGAGAGGAACCAAGCTAAAGTACAAACTTCATTTCCTTTATATACACTTTATAAACATAACTTGAAGGTAATTTTGGATTGCAGTTATACTGTGACCTACTACATGATGAGGTAAAGTGTGGAACTTTCCTCTTCTGGCATCATGTTAGTGCTTAATGAAGTTTAAGATTTTAGAGCATTGGGAACCAGCAGTTAGCATAATGGCTATGTCGCTGGACTCCCACGTAGTCGATCGCGGTTAGCGTTCCGGACCCGGTGGCTTAAAACTCACGCTGGGTGCGTGTGCGTGCGTGCCCAAGATCCCAAGAGGAGAATGGAGGAGAAGGGATTGCGGCATGACCATCCCCCCTGGGGGGTGATTTCTCGCTTTCTGTCTCTAATGTCTCTCTCTGTCTGTCTGGCGAGCGCACGCGCCCTATAGCGAAAATCTCTCCATAAAAAAAAAAAATCGAGCGTTTTAGATTTATAATTTTCAGATTATAGATGCCCAACTTCTATTACATAATAATATTCAGAAAAGACAAAATATCACAACATTAACATATACTAAAGCTCCACTACTCCCATACTGATGAATAATACATCACCCACCAAACAGTGAACACTACATAAGGCAATAAAAGTAGATCTATTAAGGGCCAAGGATCCTTTGA